GGGGGGCCTCTTAGTGTGTGTGTGTGCCTGTGCCTTTGGGTGGGTCGACTGGGTAGCAGACAGGGTCGCCGTCGAGCAGCGAGTTATAGCCGCGGGCTGACTTGTCGCAACCTGCATTCACACACACACACACACTGGCTGGTGCTAAGTAACCAGGCTGCCTGGCTGGGTAACAGAGTCCGGCTGCGCACTCGGTGTTGGGCTGATGCGTCGAACGGCACACACGCGGGGCACCGCCAGCTCGCACTCACCACCCTGACAACATACCCACAGGCAACGAACCGAACCATCACCAATGCAATCTCTTTCCCCATTTGTGTCTAACATACACACACATACGTACCTGTCTGTCGACCGGACAGAAACACACGTCTTCCTCCCCCTCGCGCACATCGCACTCAGCCAGCACGGCCGGCAGCCCAAACACAGCCGCCCGCGTGATTAAGTACTCCCGGGACACCCTCACCATCTGCTGGCCGTCCCAGCACTCAGCTATGTCTACCTTGACGCGCCGCGCCACGCCATAAGGTTCGCATCTCGACTCGTCAACAACGTCGCCTGGTGGTGGCGCGGCTGTTGTCCCGTTTGATGCTGCTGCTGGTGCTGGTGGTGCTGTAGGCTGCTGGAGAATGCGGCCTTTGCCGTCCACTGCGAGAGAGAGATGGCCGTCGCCATCTTGTTGCTCGACATCATTGTGCAGCCTCCGCCTTGCTCTCTCTTGCTGTTGTTGTTGCTGCATCAGCCGTCTGGTGAGTTGCTGGCTCTCCCGCATGGAAGCCAGCTGGTCTGCACTCTCGTCAGACCTGCAGCAATGAACGAATTAATGCATTGTGCCCTCCCTGTGGTTCCTCTCCTCCCGGTGTGAGTGCTTTTCACCAGGGCAGGTCGACGAACACGGCTCGAAAGAAGACAGACAGCGCTTGCTGCCCCTCGGTGAGGACGCTCCTCGCACGGCTGGAGAGATCAAAGCTGCCCATCCTCTCCCACAGCGACTGACCCAGCCCGGCCGCGGCAGAGGGAGAGAAGCCAGATGTGGGCCGTCTGTGTGTGTGCGGCGGCTCACATGCACACCGATGGCATGACGCCAACCACTGGAGGACGAAGCAGTGCCACAGGAGGCCTTTCAGCAGCAGATGACATTGACTCATCGGCCGCCTCGCCCTTCCTCGGGAGATTCCATTATCGAGATCCATGGAGTGCTCCTGGTGACAAGGGGAGGCTCAGTGATGCGCGACGTTCAGCTGGGAGTAAGCTCGCAGACGGTTTGCGAGCTAAAGCAACCGACGACGAGGATCTGGGCAAAGGGCGGCACAAGGGAGAGTGGGCCATCCTCACTCATCCATCAGCGGACCAACTCACTTACGGTGAGTGACAGATGCACGAGCGAGGCACACGCAGATCTGCAAGCACACAAACACCAGAGGATGGAATGGAAGGATGCATTGCATTGCTGTGCTGTGCTTGCTCTACACATGTGCATTTTCTTCTTCAGGCAGGCAGCGGGCAGGCAGCATAGCATGGTAGCTGCATCATCTGCGGCCCTCCCGCCGCTCTTTCTGTCCCTCTGCATCATCAGCACCTCCAATGCCTTCCTCCCCCCCACCCTCCCCTCACACACGCACATGCACATGCAGCCGCTCTCGTCAACACAGCCGAGGAGGCCCCCCTCACTCACGCGGCGCTCGGCATCGCTTGACATCGACTTCGGCGATGTGCTGAGCAACATCGAGGACAGGCTGGAGGGCAAGAAGCCCACACCTGAACCCAAGAAGACAGAGGCCAAGAAGGACAAAGAGCCAGGTGGGATGGGGACGAGATGCACGTTCAATGCACCACACCCACTGCCGTATGTCTGTGAGAGTCTGTGTCCTGTGTGCAGCCAAGTCGCCATTCGGTCGAGGTCTGTTCGCCTCCAAGCAGCAGCAGGAGCAGGAGGCTCCCTCCGCCCCTCCCTCTCCCACGCCCACCACCAGCAAGCGTGACCTCTTCGACAGGCTGCTTAGCAAGCCGCAGAAGCTGGCCGAGCAGACCAAGCAGCAGCAGGCCGTCGCGACCACCAGCAGCAGCAAGCCCCAGGCGCCCTCGATCACCCCGCCCGCCGCACCCAGCCTCCCCCAGCTGCCGTCGGTGCAGCTGCCGTCCCTCCCCAGCCTCAGCCCTCCCAAAGGGGGAGAGATCAAGGTACGGACGGGACGCAGGCAGTGTGCCTGTCGATGGTGCGGATGATTTGTGTGTGTGCGTGTGTGTGTGTGTGTGTGTGCACAGGGCCTGACGACGCAGCAGACGGCCACAGGTGTTGCTTTGGGTGCGTTGCCGTGGGTGCTGGCGCCGGTGGCGGCCGTGTCTGCCGGGAGGGGGCTGCTGCAGCAGACCAAGGAGGCCAGGAGCGTGGCCAAACTGCGGGTCGGTAGGGATGGAGGGATGTGGTGGATGTGCGTGTGTCGGCGTGTGTGTAGCAGTCTAGTATGTATGTGTGTAAATCTTGACGTGTGTGTGGTGTGGTGTGCTTGTGCCACCAGGACCAGATCATCCAGAAGGAGCAGGAGGAGCAGATCAAGAAAGATGCGGTGAGTGAATGAACGAACGAGTTTTCGTTTATGTGGTATCTGTCCCTCCTCTCTCTCTCTCTCTCTCTTTGTCCCCTGTCTGTCTGTCAGGGCTACAACCTTCTGGCGAGCACCCGGAGCGGGCCAGAAGGCATCGACAAACTCATCGCAGGGATTGCTGGCGGTGCGTACGCCACGCCCACACATCACATCCCCACTCCCTCAGCACACACACGCATCCACATGCCATGCCTTCTCCCTCAGGTGCCGTAGCGTCGTCCGTCGGCCTCTACGCTGCCTCCGTGCTGCTGTCCCCCCAGCCACCCGCCCCACCCACACCCCCAGGATCGACACCAGCCGTGCAGAAGACGGTCAAGAAAGCAGTCGCAACGCCCACCAAGGCCAAGGCGCCCGTGGCGCAGCCCGCACCTGCGCCGATAGGCAAAATAGAGCTGCCGGACTCGCTGCTGGGGCCGGGTGAGAAGAAGAAACCACCACCTGCACCTGCACCTGAGGCCAAGAAGGAAGAGCCGCCAGCACCACCGGCAGCGCCACAGGTGATCAAGAAGGAGGCGGTCGCGCCAGCACCGATGGCCAAGAAGGAAGAGCCCCCAGCACCAGCACCAGCACCAGCCCCGGCAGCCAAGAAAGAGGAGGCCCCGCCAGCTCCCAAGGTGGAGGAGAAGAAGGCGGCGCCTCCGGTGGAGGCGGTCAAGAAGGAGGCACCAGCACCACCCAAGCCGTCAGTGATGCCAGCGCCAGGGGCCAAGAAGGAGCCGGTCGCTGCACCCGCACCTGCACCAGCACAAGAGCCTCCTATCAGTCAGTGAACGAAAAGAACACAACACAGATGCATCAAACAAGACCGTATGCATCTATCGTGATCATGTGTGTGTTGTGTGTAGCTAACAAGAAGGAGATGCTGGAGAGGCTGCAGAAGCTGCGGCAAGGCGGCCCTGGCGAGGTCAAGACACTCGTGTCAGAGACGCTCCTGTCGCAGTCATCGCTCTCACAACCGCTGGCCGAAGACAAAATGGCGTAGCCGAGTGTGTGTGTGGGGCGGAGAGGCAAAGAGGCAAAGAGGGGAGGGAGGGGAGGGTGTGTGGGTACCTGACAGAGAGATAGGAGATAGATTTTTGCCATCTCTCTCTTATCTATCTTTGACTTGACAGCTACTAATGACGGTTGTCTGTGAATGAAGCGCACTGCAAGGCAATGTGATGTGCACCCCGTGCTTGCACATTTTTCACACACACCCGGTGGCTGAGAGACATCTCAGATGGGATGAGAGATAGATTGATGACTGAGGGAAGGGCCATTTTTCACATAGCACATGTTATCTCTGTGTGTGAGTGTCAGGGGGCTTAATTGAATTGATGTGGTTGATTTCATGTGTGGGGTGGGCATCAGACAGACAGACAGACGCATAATAGCGCCAGACAGTTTTGCAATGGTATGGTGAGGCGACACTCACATGGCATTGGCATCGGCATGCGAGTGACCCGACCGGATGAACTCTGTCGCGCGTCGTGCAGTGCCGCTCGGCTCATACGCCCACTTATTGATTGATTGCCAAGTCAGCAATTGATGGATGCCCAAACACTCACCCTCTCACCAAGGCCATACATACGACACACCTGCCATGCCAACCCATCCACGAGCTAGGAAACAACACCACCCTGACAGACAGACAGAGAACATGCTTCTCTGTCTGTCTGTCTGTCTATCTGTCTAGGTGGTTGTCTGCATCACGCTGCTCATCGTGAGGCGGCAGCACACAGCCACAGACCACGTGGCTGAGCCGCAGCATCGCAATGTGAAGCGTTAAAAGCAGAAACGAACCAACCAAGACGACAGACCCGCACAGATCCTCTCATTTCATCCATCCATCCTTCCATCCCTTCATTCATTCACAATTGTCTGTCTGTGTGTCTGTCTGTCTGTCTGTCTCTCCGTGTGTCTAAGAGGGTCGTTTGATGGCGTCGACGGTACCGTCTGGCTTGCCGACGAGGCAGACGGTGGCCATGTTGAGGAACAGCCCGTGCTCAACCACACCAGTCACGCCCAACAACTCACTCGCCGCCTATACACACACAGGGAGAGGGAGAGGTGGCGGGATGACGGATGGAGGGTGCGTTTAGGCGCACACCTGTTTCGCATCAGCAAGGGGCTCGTCGAAGTAGAGGTCCACAATGTAGTTCTGCACACAACACACCACAATACAACACACCACACACACACACACATTACAGTGCACCATCATTGCGTTGCGTTCTGTTGCGTTCTGCAATGTGTGTTGACCTGGTTGTCGGTTTCGTATGGCTTGTCGCCGTCTTGCATGCGCAGCTCAGCGCGGCACCCCTTGACGGCCTTGATGGACGGCAGCCCCTTGATGCGGTCCATCACGAACTTCCAACAGAACTTGTTGACCTCCACCGGCATCGCACCTACAGCAAACACACACACACACACACACCCCTCCCCCTCTCTCCCTGGTTTGTTCGTTTGTTTGCTCTCATGTACCGTCAACGCCGAGCCCCTTTTGGAGTTTGGTCTCATCGACGATGACGACGAACTCCTTGGCGCACTCCTCGACCAGCTTCTCGCGCAGCAAGGCACCGCCACGACCCTTGACTAGATCGAGATTTGGGTCGACCTCATCCGCACCATCTACACAATGCACACACGCACACACACACACACAACATCCACCCTCTCTCTCTCTCTGCGTGTGTGTGACTGTCCGTACCGATGGCCACGTCGATGTCATAGCGGTCATCAAGCGTCACCTGTGCGCATTACACGATGGTAGTGAGAGTCCACACATCCATCAGGGTGTGCGTGTGTGTGTGTACCAGTGGAATGTTGAGCGAGAGTGCCTGCTCCTTGGTGCGCTCCGACGTCGGAATCCCCACAATGTTGCTGACACACGGACACAGACAGACAGACAGACAGAGGCCATCCACACAGACGCCCACACACTTGCCTGTCTGTCTGTCTGTCTGTCTGATGTGTGTTGACGGTCTGTCAGACCTAGGAGGTACCTGAGTTCGCCCGACTTGAGTTTCTCGCCGATCCGCTCGACAGCAAAGGCTGCCGTGGACCCGGTGCCGAGACCCACCTAACACACACCAAACACACAAACAGGTGTGTGAGTGGGCATCGCATATTTCGATTTGTGTGTGCATCCGATCGGCGCATTCACACACACACACACATACACACCAGCATGTCGCTCTTGACATAGTCGTCCACGGCCTTGTAGCCCACAATCTTCTTCATCTCATCTTGACTCACTGTCCCCACCGCCATCCTCAGCTGATGCCTCCTCGGTGCTTGTGGTTGTGGTGCTGAAACCAATGGCCTCTGCCGCAATCGCGGTAACAAAGATGGGGCTGCCGGGCGGAGAAAAGATGCCGATGATCCTGCGACAGATGAGGGATGCCGCAGCGACAGCAGCAGCACCGCCGTCACGCCCAGGCTCTGTGGCAGCACAGCCTTGCGAAAGGGCTCCATTTCTCCTTTCGGCGATCTTCGCTAAGCTCGCATTTGTTTGAGAAGGCAAGAAGAGAGGAGAGCGCTGTGATGATGCTTGCACGGCCGCCCGAGCATAAGATGGTATCGGCAAATCGCAGGAGCAGGTGACTGAGCTGGACACCGACGGCGGCTCCGCACCGGTCATCTTGTGTGCGGAGCAGTGAGCTCCATCTCCCTCCCTCCATTCGCCACAATCGCACCAACGCACAACAACAAAACCGCACGCCGCAGATTAGACAGCCGAAGTGACCTCCCCTGACCGACCTGATTCGCAAAGAGATAGAGAGATGACTGAGCACAACAACAACAGCAACAGCGCCAATGGTAGCGGCATGCCGCCCACTGTGGCGGCCATCTCCCCCGAGCAAGTCAAGCCCACCACCACAGCCACAGCCACATCGCCACCACCCCAGCAACGGCCGTCTTCGCTGCTGCAGCAGCAGTACAAGATCCCCCGGTGGCTCAAGAAGCAGGGCCTCGAGTGCCCCTACCCCGTCGCCAAGACCGTGGCGGGCAAGTGGGGGACCATCAACTACGACATCGGTGGTCGGAGGGGCGACCCAATGGTATGGTACACACCCGCCTGTGCCTGCCGTGTGTGTGTATGGCTTGCTTGTCCGTTGCTCCTTCCTGTACTTGTGTGTGTGTGGTATGGTGTGTGTTGTGTGCAGGTGGTGACATTTCACGGTTTGAACGGCACGAGGATGACGTTTGCGGACCTGCAGGAGGTGCTGCCTAAGTACGGCTTCCAGGTCCTCACATTTGGTACGGTGGCCACTCAGGCAGGCAGGGAGTCACACAAGAGGCCGCATTTCGTTGCGTGTGTGATCGTGGCTGTGTCTTGTGTGTCGTGTGGGTAGATTTGTACGGCCATGGTTTGTCGGCGGCGCCTAGACACCGGCCGCGCAAGAAGACCTACTCTGTGGACTTCTTTGTCGAGGTGGGTACCCCTCTCTCTCTCTCTCTCCGTGTGTGTGTGTGACCGGCTGTGTGCATCTTTCGTGTGTGTGTGAGCAGCAAGCCGTCGAGTTGCTGGACAAGTTGGGTTTGGGTGAGGTGCCGGTGAGCCTCATCGGCTTCTCAATGGGGTGCTGCATCGCTGTGGGCTTCACGCACAAGTACCCGGATAGAGTGCAGCGGCTGTGCCTTTGTTCACCAGGTGCGGTGGAAGTCCGTGCACTGCGCACGACAGACAGATACCTATCCCTTATCCCTCTCTATGTGTGTGTGTGTCTGTTGTGTCTGGTGTGTTGTGTGGTGTGTGGCTTGGCAGCTGGTTTCCTGGAGAAGAAGCCGGGGCCGCTCAAGTGAGAAGTGGACACACCACGCCTACCATCCATCCATCCCTGTGTGTGTGTGTGGCACAGGCTGCTGCAGGCGTGTCCCTGTGTGATGGGGTGTCTGCCCAAGCTAGTAAGCCCTTGCTGCTTCAGAAAGAGGGCCTTCGAGAAGGCAAGTTACGTCACACTGCGGACCGACCGACCGACCGACCGACACACACACACACCTTGACGCATGTGGACGTGTCGTGATTGCAGAAGTTCTCTGTTGCTGAGCGGACCTCGGGTGTGGTCGATACCCTCTGGCAGAGGATGATGTGGCAGGTTCGTGGCCATCAACAAACCACACACCCATGTGTGTGTGTAGGGTGGGTGCATCATTGCATGACGTGTGGGTGGTGTCTGTCTGTCTGTCTGTCTGGTGTGCAGTTGTTCGTCAAGAAGGGTGTGGTGGGGGCCTTTCTGGGCTGTGTCACGCAGCTGCCCATGTGGAGCCAGGAAGACGTTGTCAGAGAGGTACCCATGTGTGTGTGTCGGTCTCTCCCTCCCTCCCTGCCTCCCTCTTTCCCTCCCTCCCTCCCAACCCTCTCTCTCTCTCTCTCTCTCTGTGTGTGTGTGTGTGTGTGTAGATCGGTGCGTCCGATCGGCCGTCGCTGATTATGTGGGGGAGAGAGGACACCGTCTGTCCCGCAAAAGTGGCAAAGGCACGTCGACGATCGACATACGCAGACAGACAGACAGACGAGCATCACGTGTGTGTGTGTGTGCGTGTGTATTGTGCAGCGGGTGGTGAGCTGCTTCAAGAATGGGCATCTGATCATCCTCAAGAACTGCTCGCACCTCATACTGGCCGACCAAGTAACCTATTCCTCTCCCCCACCCCCAACAGACAGAGAGAGGGAGAGAGAGGGAGAGTGAGAGAGAGAGGGAGAGAAAGGGAAGCGCTGTGTGTGTTCGTGTGTGTGTGTGCGATAAATGGAGTGCAGCCGTTCATCTCGATCACATCCATTCTGACGTTCCTGCGCTTCCCCCCCGACGTGGTGCTGTCGGCTCACAAGCACATGTTCCCCCACGCCATAAACCCTAAGATGTCCGTCACCTCGCAGCAGGCACAGCAGGCAGCAGCGGCACAGGCAGCTGCTGCTGCTGCAGCCGCTCCACACGCACAGGCAGCCGCGGCAGGTACGTCCGTCTGTCTGTCTGTCTGTGCGACGGGCGATGCCGATGCACACCTGTGTGTGTGTTGATGGTATGTGCAGAGTCGGCTTTGACGCCTTCGTCGATTTCGGCGCAGGCCGTGCAGGTGGTCAATCCCTTCGGGGGGCAGCTGGAGGCCGTCAGAGCCCCACGCCCATACTTACAGACACAGGCACAGGCGCTGGCACAGGCGGCGCAGACGACCCCACGGCGTGTGGAGACTGCGAGCGGTAGGTACAGGTACATGCAGTCAGTCGTGTGTGGTCGTCCATCCATCCATCCATCCATGTGTGTGTGTGTGTGTAGTTGGTGAGGTGACCGATACCGGCAGCTGTGACGGACCGATTCCGATGCCTGTAAGTAATGGGCAGAGAGAGGGGGAGTGTGTGTGTTTGGATGTGTGGGTGTGTGGATTGTGTGTCTGGTGTGCAGCCACTGGTGAGCGAGCCCTTCTACCGGCCGTCCTACGACCCCCTCACCAACACCCTCACCAACAACGACGAAGAGAACAACGGCTCTCTCCACCCACAGCAACACCATGGCCACCAGCCGCACCATCACCACGGCCACCATCCGCACCATCACGCCCACGTCGTCTGGTACGCAGCCACACCACACCAAACACACACACACAAATGGCTAATGGCTATAGCTCTCCCTGTCTGTGTGTCACACCTGCCTGTGTGTGTGTGTCACACAGGCCGCCGAACGACTCGGACCTGGGGGGGCTGCGGATCCGTCCCAACCTGCCGTTCCCCTCCCCCTCGCCCGTCCCCTCCAGCAGCGACGCCGTCTCCATCAGAAATGCTACCGAAGACAGCCTCGCAGGTACGCTCATTGTTCCATACACAAACACACACACACACACACCGCTCTCTCTCTCTGTGTCAGCGGCGAGCATCTACAACCGCCCGACGCTCCCCCCAGCAGGCGTCGGAGTGCACGGCCGGTCGCCTCCTTTCTGCCCTTCCTGCGGGGGCATCCCCCCTCGCCCACCCTCCTCATCCCACAACAACGAGCACCAGCACCAGCACGATCATCATCAACCACATAACAACAACAACAACAACAACACCACAGGCGGCACGATGATCGATCCCGTGACGATGCGCGCTACGAGCATGTGTTGGTCCGACTCTGAGAGCGACTGGGAGGAGAGGGATGACGACGACCGTCCAGCTGGGATGGTGGGGGTCTGCACCTGTGGCGGTGCTGGGGGCGGTGGTTATGGGGGCGACGAGCCGGCCTTACCATTTATCGTGCCGATGCGGGTGGACAAGGCCAAGGGCAGCCCGGCGCCGGAACGGCCCGCTGGTTGTCAGGTGAGAAAGAGGGAGAGGGGCAGGGTGGATGGATGGATGGATGTTACTCACTTGTCGTGTGGTGCAGAGCATCGACGAGTCGCCGCCCTCTCCCTGTTCGACGGTCAAGAGCGATTGTGTGGACGACGGTGTCGGCCCTGACGGCGGCGAGGATGGCAACGGCGAGAGAGACATGGCCTCCGCCTCCGCCTCCCCATCTCCCTCACCCTCCCCCTCTCCCTCCCCCTCGCCCTGCCCCAGCAGCCCCTCCACACACCAGGCCCTGCCCCACCCCACACCGCCCAGCCACATCCACACCAGGATGCAGCTCAGCGCCAATCTCACGGACCTCGGCAGCTTCATGGACGGCCTCTCGGCCAACGGCGTGGCGGACCTGCTGGCCAAGCGCACCCCAAGGACCCCCCAGAACAACACGGGGGAGAGACTCGTCAGGAGAGAGGCGGCGTCGTCCATTCAGCGGAGCAAGAGCGAGCACACCTCCGCCCCCGCGCCCCCACTGCCCCTCCCCCACTCGTCCCACCCAGAGGCCCAGAGCAGCCTGCCGATGGAGCTGCCCAGCTCCGCCACGCCGACATCCGTGCACAACGGGGGTGTGTCTGTGTCGGCTATGAGGTTGGCTGAGAGCGCCATCCATGAGTTCGTCTTGAGCACCAAAAGCAGCAGCCGGAGGAGACGACGGTCGTCGGGCAGGTCGAGAAGGAGCGGCAGCAGGGGGCTGGCGCTGGGGCTCGGGGTGGGGGGCGCTCGAAGGTGATGCTGCTGCTGCTGCTGCTGCAGTGAGGGGGTGGTGGTGTGGGTGGTGGGCTGGATAGCTTTTGCCGAGTTTCTCTTATCTATCATTATTATGTCTCTGCATCTCTGCATCTCTGCATCTGGTGTGGTGTGCGTGACTGCCTGCCTGCATAGACAGTCTGTCTGTCTGTCTGTCTGGTGTTGCGTGCTTTGGTTTCTTCCTTTCTCGCTTGCGCCTGATCCGCTTATATAAACATTGGGGCGGGGCGCAGCCAATTCATTCGTTCGGCCGACCAACCGAAGAAACACACACACAATCAGCGAGCTCAGAGAAATGGAATGATGGCAACTTGGTGGTGCTGTGATATACTCTCTCTTGACAGGTGGGATCATGAGAATCGGACACGGAGAGAGAGAGAGAGAGAGAGGGAGAGAGAGAGGGAATTTTGTTGCTCTGCTGCTGGCCCCCCCACATCCCACCACACCCCCACACACACCCAGCCCACCGAACGCACCACCACCAAGTCAACTGTTTTTGTTTGCCCCAACCGCTGTCAGCAGTTTGCCCACCGACAGGACAGACAGGTGCGGGTGGGCGTGGATGTGGCCGTGTGTGGTTGGGGTCTGTGTGGGGTATGTGGGGGGGTGGCGGATACCTAAGTCAGTCAGTCAGCGGATGGATTCTGCATAAGTCGCGTGGCGTGCTGGCTCCTGCAAATGCTACTGAGGGGCTGCAGGCGATGCGAGGCGACTGACTTTCTAAGAGAGGGGAGAGAAAGATGGGGTTGGGGTCGGGGGAGTGTGTTGGTATGTATAATGAACGGTGTTGTTGTATTCTTACGTAGACCTACCGCCACGTCAGCTGTGTGTGTGGGTGGATGGACGGACCTTCGCACTAATTTGACTGACGCCTGACGTGAGTGAGTGATCCCTGGTGCCCCCCGGTGCCTGGCTGACTTCGTGCTGTGCGATGCATGCGATGGGTGCTATGTGGCCTGTCATGTTTTGTGTGAGTGCGTGTTGGTGTGTGTGGTGTCTCCCTGCTCGTCTCGTCCGCTTCCTCTCATTTGCTCGCATTATTTATCCCATCTCTCTCTCTGTGTCCGTGTCTGTCGGACGGCTCACACACAGACACTGACACTAAGGACTCTAAGGACTGAATGAACGAATGAACAAGTGTGGTCCAGTCCTTAGAGTGTCTCCCTCTCCCGGTGTCAGTCGTCCATACACACCGGACTGACACAGCGGCACACAAACTTTCAGATTGATTGGGTCCTCCCGGGGACGGTACGCAGCCACGATAATGAGAAAGATGCAAAGCCAATCGTCGAGCAAAGCAAAGGAAACCGTCCGGCAATAGTCTGCGGCGCACCCACCTCCACCTCCACCGTCCTGGCTGTCTGTTTATCTGACTATGCGTTTCTGAGGGAGTTGTTGGTCCCGGTCAGCCGCAGGTGGGCAGCGCCCTCTTGCTCCTGGTGGTTCGCACGCACACACACACACACACACACAGAAAGGAGTTGTGTGTGTGCGAGTGGATGTCTGCGTGCGAGTGAGCACCCACCTGCATCTTCTTGAGGGCTCTCATGGTGGGCATGACCTCGCTCGGGTCCATCTCCTTCAACCGCTTCTCTGCACACAGACAGAGAGGGAGGGAGGGAGGGAGAGAGGGAGAGAGGGAGAGGTGTGGCTCAAGAGCATCAATCCATCCATCTGGGCGTACCGTTTTGTTGCTTCATCATCATGCGCTCCAGCTTCCGCTTGCCGGGCTTCTTACTGCACACACAGAGCCACACAGACACGCATACACACACATCAAGACAGAAACTCGTGTGTGTGGGGTGGGTGTGTAGCGCTTGCCCGTGGAACGTCCAGCTGATGTATTGGAAAGCCTCCTTCTCATTCTGAAGAAACAAAACAAACCACGCCAATGCCATTGATCCATCCAGGTGTGTGGCATCCCATCAGTGTGTGTGCGGAACGATACCATGACCCGCCCGTAGTCGTCTCGGTACTCTATCTTGATGTCATCCTTGTCGGTGGCCATGTGCATCGGTTTGAGCGTCGGGTGGTGCCGCTTCAGGCGATAAGCGTCGTCGCTCAGCTCACCTGCACACACACACACACACAAATCCGTATGTGTGTGTGCAGAAGGGGAGAGGGGGTGGTTGAGGGGGTGGTGGGTACCTCGGCTCTTGAGGAAGGAGAGGGCGCTCGCGAGGCCCACGTCCATGGCGGAGTCGTTGAGCAGCTCCTCGTCCTAACCACCACACGCACCCACACACACACAGAATGGGGAATTCCATTTCTCTCTGTGGGGGGGTGGGGGTGGCACTGACCTCGTCTTCATCGCTCTCTTCTTCTCCTTCCCCCTCCCCGACCGCGGCCTCCTCTGCACCACCAGCTGCTGCTGCAGCGTCGGCCATCTGCTCGTCATCCTTGTCCTTGGTTCTTTCCTTGGCCTTTTCCTTGGCTGCTGGTGCTGATGCTGGCTCAGCCTGATGCAGGCACACACACACACACACACGCGCGCGTGTTTGGGGTGGGGTCGGTCGGGAATTTGGGGCTGTTGTCTGTTACCTGTCCGGCTCTCTCGCCCTTGATTCTGCTCTCCAGCTTGCGCTGCCGAGCCAGGCGCTGCTGCCTGCATCACGTCCATCCATCCATTGACTTACCCATCGTGTGTGTGCGTGTGTGTGTGTGTGAACTAGCTGACCGACCTGTAGAGCATGCTGCCGGTGTAGCCCTCTGAGTGGATGGCCGAGAACTTCTCCTCGGGCGTCTGCAGCGACTTGATGAACTCCGTGAAGGCAGACAGCTCCACTGCACACACACATAAAGATAAGTGGGCTGTGTGTGTGTGTGTGTGTGTGTGTGAGCCGACCGTTGGACTCATCTTCTTTCTTGACGCCGGCCGCTTCGTCCTCGGCCTTCATTTCAACGTCCTCCTCTGCAGACACACACACAGCGAGAGGGAGAGCGAGAGGGAGAGGGAGAGGCGTGTTCTCTGTCTGTGTGGGTGTGTCCGTCCGTCCGTCCCACGGGCCTCGGTTAGTTACCTTCTTCCTTCTTGACCAGGTCCCCCTCGATCACCTTCCTGACGTACTCCTCCGCCCCGCCCCTGCCGACACCGTCGCCATTCTCAAGATCCCTGCACACACACACACACACACACAGATGCAGAGCCTCCATCCATCCATCCATCCATCTCTGTGTGTGTGTGGTGGCTTACTCGTCAGGTTTCTTCTCTCTCTCCTGCTGAGCAAGTGCGATCCGCCGCTGTCTCGCGAGCTGCTCGTACAGCATGCGATCGTCCTCATCCTCTGGGGGCGCCTCGCCCTCTGCTGCTCCACGACTGGAGAAGGTGAAAGCACGACACGCACACACACACACACACACGCACACGCACACGCACACGCACACGCCGCCGTGGTTGTATGTATCTTCAGAGCCATCCATGTGTGTGTGGGAGGGAGGATGTACCTCTGATCGAGCTGCCTGAGCGTCTGTGCCACCGCTGCAGCAGAATCGGGCCTGCACACACACACACACACATATCCATCCATCCATCCAAGTGTGCCTCCCTCTTCCTCCCTCCCTCCCTCCCTCCGTCTCTTCCCGCACCGTTCGGCCTCCATCCTCTGGGCCTGCGACGCCCTGCTGCCGGCATGCCTCTCGCCCGTGTCTCTGTCCTCCTCCTCGCCCTCTCCCAGCAGCTCCTCCCAGTCAACCTTGCGGCTGCACACACACACACCCATGGACACACAGATGTCAGGGGGGGTGGGTTGAGAGAGGGCGTGGTTGTGGTTGTGTACCGTGCATTCTTCTTCTCCTTCCTGCGCCGCGGTTTGTTGAATTTGGCCATCTCTTCTTTGGTGTAGAAGTCGGCGGGCTGGGAGTACGACTGAGGGAGGGAGGGAGGGTGAGAGGAATGTGTGTTTGCCCATACTACACACGCCTTTGATGCCGCTCGGTCGGTCAGTCAGTGTGTGTGCGGCTTGCGTGTGAGCGTACCTGCTGTGCGCTCTGCGTGAGGAGGTCCAGCTTCTTTGCCGGCGAGATATCCGCATCTGCACACACACACACACACACAGAGAGAGAGAGAGAGGGAGAGATATGGACAATTGTGGACAATTGGTGTGTGTTCGTATCTTCGCAGACAGCCAGACAGCCAGACAGACGTGCATACCTCCTTTGACGAGTGCCGACAGGAAGAATCCCCCCGGTGTCTTTGTCTTCTTCTTGCTGCTCTCGGCCGCCCACTCGTCGTAGTGCTCCAACACGTCCTTCTTGCGCGGAAGGCCGTCGGGACCTAAACACATCATGTCACAGGAGGGATGCGCCCGTGTGTGTGTGGGTAGGGGTGTGTGTGTGTGTGTACCGATCTGCCAGTCTTCGGTGGGGTCATACACAGTGGTCTTCTCCTTGTCTGCCATTGAAACACACACACACACACACACACACACACAGGGAGAGAGGGAGAGAGAGAGAGGTCGACGTTCACACGTGTGATGCTGGGTGGGCAGGCCGACACAATACCTTTGAGCTTCTTGTCCAGCGCCGTCTTCTCCCTAATAGCGATGTTCTCGAGCTCGTCGGGACCTTCGGCCAACTCCGCATCGTCCCCAATGATGGGTTTGTCGGCGAGCGTGAGCACGACATCCTCGCCCTCGTGTACCTCACCAAAGGCCTTCATGTCGTGCGCAACCTTCACACAATCAACACACACACACACACACACACACAGACATCTCTCTCTCTCTGTGTGTGTGTGTGTGTGTGTGTGTGTGTTTTTGTGAGCCACTCACCCGCAGCCCCGCGAGTTCGTCTTCAGCGGCCATCTTGGGCGCCTTGGGCCTTGCGCGTCTCTCCTTCTTCTTGGGCACCGCTGCTGCTGCTGCTGCTTCGGAGGGCTGCTCCTACACACACACACATGCACACACACACACACACACAGTTCTGTGTGTGCATCGAACACTACGCCACGGACGAAGGCACCTGCTGCATGGCCGCCTCTTTCTGTCGCATCTTGGCCACCCAGTCGGCGGCGTCGCCGCCCTCCTCGCCGGCCAATATCTCACCTAGACGACACACACACACACACACAGCAAGGCAAAGACATTAATAACACCTACTGACGGCAGATGGACGTGTGCGCTCCTCCTTAAAGACGTACCTAGCCCCTTCCCTCCAGCGATCTCATCCCTCGCCCGGCGTGAGCGGGAGGCTGCGATGCGCTCGCGCATCTCCTGCGCGTCAGGCTGCTGCTGATCTTCCTCCACACCATCACCTGGCCGTTCAACCAACGACACACACCACAGACAGACACAGACAGACTGAGTTGTCGCGTCTTGGGTGAGTGCTGTGTGTGTGTGTGTGTGTACCTGGTTGTTTCTGCTTGTCGCCCCCTGTGTCGTCCATCTTGAGCGGCTTCAGTCCTATCTCCGCCCGCAGCCTGTTCGTCTCCTCAACAGACAGGGCAATCTCCCCCTGCCCACCTCCACCTCCACTCGCCATGATGCCGGTCGGTTCGGTTTGTCCGTCGGTCTGTCCGTCGGTCTGTCTGTCTGTCTGTCTGTCTGTCTCGGTCGCTCACTAGATGAGAACCAGGCGGCCCTCCGGCTGTGGTTGGCTGAGGCACATCCAGATGAAGCCGTTGAGGCCGACGTAGAAGACGACGGGCATGAGCAGCAGGCTCAACAGACCTGTCAGAATCAGGCCAAATGAGTCGTGAGTTGTGTCGCAGATTAGGTGCAGGGTTTTTGGGGTCTAGGGTTTCGTAGACTTTACTTTGCAAGCCAATCGCGTTTGGTCGGTTGGAGTTCGAGTGTGTGTGTCACGATGATGAAGGTGGTGGCGGCCGTTGCCCTGCTTGCCGTGTGCGCAAATGCGTTCGTGCCGCAGGGCGTCCTTAAGAGGGGTACGCAGGCAAAAAGATGCATGAGATGCAGAGCGCTTCTTTCTCGAAAGCTGTTGCACGATACGTGCACAAACACACGACACGTGTACTGTCAGGATCTGTGAACGGTCACCGTTTCATTTCCTGCCTGTTGTGTCTGTGTTTGTTGTGCGCTGCTGCTTGTGCAGACTCCCCTCTGCGGAAATCCCTGACGCGGCCCTCGATGGCCGAGATGTACGCTCACACACAGACATCCAACACACATACACAGACAGACAGACAGATATTGCTCCACACAATCTTCTCTCCTGTCATCTCTCATCTCATCATTTTGCTCCCTGCGACCTCTGTCTGTTTGTCTGTCTGTCTGTCTGACCCCCCTACTGCAGGGGTGAGTCCGACCGCTCTTTGGCCCTGCCGATGGACAAGCGGCCGCCCAACCTCGACGGCAGCCTCCCGGGTGACTTCGGCTTCGACCCCGTCGGCTTCTCAAACAACCTCCCACGCACCTGGCTCATCGGGGGCGACGAACGGTCCCTCAAGTGGTGGGTTGACGTGACGCATCAGATCGTGGGCGCGGTGTGGTGCACGCGTGGCTGTGTGTGTGTGGCTGTGAATGCAGGTACAGAGAGGCCGAGTTGGTGCATTCGCGGGTGGCGATGCTTGCCGCCCTCGGGTGGATCTTCCCTGAGATCTGGCACCTCCCCGGCAACGCGGCGGTACGTACGTGGCCCTGCGTGTGGATTCGCCCAGTCGCGCCCATCGACGTGTGTGTCTCGATGTGTGTGTGTTTTGTTGACTGACTCGTGCAGGTTGGTGTGGATGCGTTCGCCGAGACCAACCCTTGGAAGGCCCTGACGACCGTGCCCAAGGAGGGCCTCTGGCAGATCGCCGGCACCGTCTCGGCCATCGAGTTCTTCCGACTCAGACGGTAGGCAGCGCAGCCACGACACGCAGAGATGGATGGATGGATGGATTGACGCGTGTGTGTGTGTGGGCGGATCAGTGTGGTTCGCGGCGAGAAGGAGGCGGGCGACTTAGGTCTCGGTCAGGGCGAGGGCAGGTGGAACCCTTTCGGGTTCGCATTCGACGAGGACGAGTACTACCGAATGCAGGTAGGTACCTTGCTCATGGAATGTCATATGGTGGACGGGACGGTGGCTGGATCGCATCATTCCATTGTCTGTCCGTGTCATGTCATGTGTGTCGTGTATCTGATTTATCTGTAGGTGCGTGAGATCAAGAACGGCCGCCTGGCGATGATCGCCATCATCGGCATGATGCTCCAGGCAGCCGTCACCGGCGAAGGCCTGCTCGAACAAATCGGTGCGCGCAAACGACACACACACACCCACACACATACACACAGAGAGACTTTGAATGTACGTGTGTGCGCGTGTTGTGTGTGTGACGTGGCGTGGCGTGGCTTGGTGTGCAGGTGAAGGTTTCGGCCTCGGTCCGGGCTACCGCCTTCCGGCAGGGACGGGATTGCAGAAATTTGTGAGCACACCCACACCACACAGACACACAGAGACGTTCATGATATATCTCCCTCTCCTTCTCCCTCTCCCTCTCTCTCCCTGTGTGTGTGTGTGTGTGTGTGTGTGTGTCAGTTCCCCGAGGGCCTGTAAACGCGGTGTTGATGGCGACGTCTGTGAATGCAGCAGTGGCGACGGCAGCTGGCTGCCATCGGCCGGCGCGTGCATTGATGGCAGTGGGGCGGGCGGGTGGCGGTTTTTCGATAGACATGACAGATGGACGAGCGAGCCATGAAATGAAGTGAGGTCATGATGGATGGCGTGGTGGCTGTGTGTGTGCGCGAAAGAGGGACACACACATACCGACGGACACACAGACACACGAGCGGAAAAAGGCGGACGGGCCGCTGTTTTTGTCGTGACATGAACGAATGATGAGAATTCGAACGAATTGACTGCGCAAATGGGAAAACAAAAAGCCATTCCGTTTTCATTCACGCAACCTCACCTCTCATCTGCGGGAGCAGCCATCCTCTCTGCCTCTGTCTGCCTTTAATGGCCTCCTGTTGTCCGCAGACAATGAAATCACATGCGACGAGATTTTCGCGAGCTGATCGAGACGGAGACAAAAATGATTTCCGAGAACCTGTCTGCCATCTGGTGGCTGAATCGAGTGGCTTCGCATCCCTTCATCGTGTCTCACAAACCCATTGACGGATATGGGAGACAACACACACACACAGCAGAGTCTCAAAGGATGCACACAGGTACACGCATCAGATGCACACGTGCAAATGCACAAATGCGATCGTCAGCCTCTCTCTCCAGCCACGCTTTGCAGGTTTGCAGCCAGCAGCACAGCTGCCTGCCTGCCTGCGGTCCGTTCCTTATCTCTCTTCTTGTGCTGTGTGTCGTGTCCGTCCATGCCATCTGTCCATTCTTCCACGACCATCTTTCCCCACAACGGCAGCCTGTGGATGGATGGCACTCCACAGGCAAGACAGGAAGAGGCTGCATGACATTGTGATGACTGTACAGGGGCAGACGCCTCCACTTGTGTGAACCCCAAAACTTCCCTCCCCGCAGGCATGCCACACAGGCACACACGAACGTTCACGGGCGATGCATCCCTCCCTCCCCTCTGCCCGTCCCACTCCCCCCTCTCATTATTTACACAACGATGAGACAGTGAGTCCGTTAGTTGATGCCCAGCGGCCGCCAGCTGGCGTCACTGGCATGATCCGCCCATTCCAGCTGGCCCCACTGGAACACGCAGTCGGTGTTGCCCAGGTGGGTGTTGAAGCCCTTGACCACGCCCTGCAGCCCGTGTGCCGCCACCTCGTCCAGCCGCGCCTTGTGCACCACCTCACGCACCCCCAGCCGACGCACACTCGACCCCGCCCTCACGGCGAAGCACTGCAGCGGCACCCGCACCATCTCGCCCTCCACACTCTCCTTGTGGCCCATCACCTCCCTGTTGCTGATGCTGGCCTTGTACAAAGCCGACTCAACGAAGTGCTGGGCAGCCGCACACACACGGCGGGCCAGGTCGCTGCCCCGCACACCGATGGCCTCACTGATGCCCGCCTTGGCGGCATCCATGTCGAACAGGTAAGATGCGATGCGCCAGCCGAAGATGGGCGCCTCGTTCGGACCGACGGCCAGCCAGGGCGTGATGACGGCGGCGAGGGAGCGCTGGGGGGCCAGGGCGGCATTGATGGCTCCCATGACGGCCGTGGGCAGCGCATTCAGCACCTTGACGTACTGATCCAACACCAGACGACGCTCCGCGGTGGGCATCACGCCAATCATTGCCCCCGACCGCAGCAGGGTGCGGACCGCCCCCTTCATGCCCTCTATCGCCTTGTCACGGTCCTCGTACACCCAGAGGGCACCATGTGGATCGGTGAGCTGGGCGAGCTTGAAGGCAGCACAGTCAAGAGGGGTCTGCGGCACAGACGGCGGGTGTGAGGCGTTGATGTCGGCGGGTGTGAGGTTGTCGCACAGGTACTCGACCACATGGTGTGCAGAGAAGAAACAGGCCGAGTACAATGCCGTCCTGCGAGGATGCTCCACGTGGGTCAGGGTCGCCCCGTTGGCCGTCACCAGGTCCAGGTAGGCCTCGATGAAGCCCCGGGAGTAGACACGACCCGCCTTGGCTGCCGAGTACACCACATCAGTGCTGATGACGACACCGATGCTGTGCACATTGCTCTCCGTCGCCAAGTCGGGGTCTTGATCCAGGAGGTAGCCGAAGATATCGATCAGGGTATCCTCGTACTGCTCGGTCGCCACGAGCAGCGGCACATGCAGCAGCCCCATGCCGTCCACCTTCGCCCCATGTGTGCCCACGAGGGCCTCCACTCCCGTCGCGTTGCCCGACCGCACCGCCACCTCCACGGGGCGCTTGCTCCCGTCCGCCAGCCCATCGACATCTGCGCCCTCGTCCACCAGCGCGTTGATGATGCCCGCCTGGATCTGACGGCTTGGCCACAATGGGAGCACCAGCCGACCCGGAGGAGGACCAAAGGGAGGCCATACAAATAGCTGGAGCGCCGACTCCAGCGCAGTGGGGGAGCTGAAGTCGTCGATGGCCAACGCGAGCAGACACACGCGCGCCACCCTCCGTACGTGCCCCGGTACGGACAGCTCGATGGTCACGGTGGGATCAGCGCCGCGGCGAATAAGGCGCCGCACACCGTCAGGAGTAATGCTGCGATTCATGATTCTCCTGACGAGCCGACGGGTGAGCTTTTTGGCCCCCTCATTGGAGCCGGGACGGAAGTGGATCTGCATCTCGATGGCCTCTATCACTGCCGCCTGCTGCTGCTGCTGCTGCTGCTGCTGATGGGCTGCGGTTGACGAACGGACGGCCATCCTTACGATCTGCAGCAAGTACCACACCAAAGGCAACACACGTGCATGAAGGGCTTCCCCTCTTTTCGCTTTCCATCATCCCATCAGTGCCATGCATCCCTACCTGAATTACGTCACTCAACGGATATCCGCGATTCAACAGGTAAGAAGGCGGTGGTTTGTCTGCAAACGCCTTCCCTTCTCTTTTGCTTTGGTGCCCTCCGTGAAACACTAATTGCGAGCCCACGTCAAGCCCCCATTCAGTCTCGCCCATTCTTTGCTGCTTCGTGGCCTTCAGGAGAATCGGTCTTCCTTTGATCAGCAAGGAGGCGTCAGTATCGCTTCGCACGCCGTCCCGTGAGTCAGACGCTGTTCGTCCGCTGCAGTGCGGTGTGCGTTGTGGAGGGCCTCTGCAGCTCAACACGTTGCTTATTGTAGGGACAGCAGTTCACCCGTTGCTGGCAGGATGGTGCTGACCCGCGCACAGGTGAGGAGGAGAGGAAACGAGCCGCACGGGAGGTGGGGGCGCCGTGTCTAATGCATGCTTTGTCACCAAGAGCACGTGAGCCATCATGATGGGCACACTCCATGCCTGTTTATGCCCAATTCGAAGCTGCATGGCCTCATTGTTGCTTTCTTTTCCTTCTGTATGTGTATGTCGCTTATCGGTGCAGGCTGCCGCCAACTTGAAGGAGTTGGAGAGAGGCCGAGGAGGCAGCTCATCTCGCTGCAGTGGCCGCCGCCACCGGGGCCATCCGCCTCTATGACCTCCACCCCTTCACCAATGCCGAGGACGACGAGCCCCTCGACAAGGCCGCCCAAAGGCGACACAAGAAGATATCCGCCCCCGAGAAAGACCACCAAAGGGATGCGAGGACGGGCGCCAGCCACAACACACCCGGGCAGCCGCACGGCAGCCCGCTGCGAGGAGGGGCCGGGTGGAGGGGAAGGGGAGTCGGGAGATGGGAGATGTCCAGATGGGCAATGGAGAGGGCAAGGATGTCGAGATGATGGATGAGGGAGAGAACAATATGTTGGCGAGAGAGGCCAAGAAGCCCGCCCGTCATGCCGCCGCCCAGCAGCGTCGGGCTCCCAAGGCAGAGGTGGAGGAGCCTGACATCCACAAGGCAGCCCTCATCGAGGGAGACGAGGACGAGGAGCCCCTTCGCAAGAGGAAGAGGAAGAAGAACAAGAAATCCGTCGCCCGCGCCGCCAGCCATGATGCGCACGGAGACATGGAGATGGACGTCGGCGAGGGGATGGGTGGAGGGATGGCCCTCAAAACAGCTGTGGAGAGGGGCATGTGTGAGGCTGTCGATGCTCTGCTGAAGGGCCGACCGCAGCTGGCCGGCCAAGGTCTGCTCCACGCCCTCGCTGAGGCCAAGAGCGTCCCCGACGAAGACAAGGTGCGCATCGCTATGTCACTGCTGTCCGCCGACCCCTCCCTGGCCACCGAGACCGACTCCGACCTCCAGACGGCCCTCCACCGTTTCTGTGAGCTGCCACTGAGGGACCCCAAGCGGCAGGAGCAGCTGCTCGATCTGCTGCACGCCAAGGGAGGAGCTGCCATCATCCGCACTCAGGATGCCGAGGGCTGGCGGCCCCTGCACGTCGCAGCAGCGTCCCACCGCGGCCATCATGCGAGCGGCACTGCGACCGTCAAATGGCTTTGCCGCCATGGGGGCAAGGTGCACGTCAACGAGGCGGTGAGCGTGGACGGAGACGCCTTCCTGACGCCGCTGTCCATTGCGGCTATGCATCCGGCCATTCCGCTGACTCGTCTGCGAGTGTTGATTGAGGAGGGCGGCGTGGGCAGCAGGCTGCCAGCGGAGGGGGAGAGTGATAGCCAACAGCCGGCTGCAGGGGGGAAGAGAAAGCGTCTGTCGCCGGCAGAGGCGGCCATGGAGACAGCGGGGAAAAGAATCGAAAAGGTGCACAAGCACGGAGGGAGGAAACACGCTTTCATGGTGCTTACTTCTGTGGCTGTCTGGGTGGTTGTCAGGTGATTCGGGCATCCAGGAACAAGGAGGAGGCAGTGAGGGCCCGTGAGGGGAGGAAGGACAAAGAGGAGGACAAGGCTGCGGCGGCTCGGATGCGTCGGAGCCAGTTGGGCCGTGAGTTGGTGAAGATAGTCAACGACGCCCTCCGGCCGGTCCGCTCGCTGGAAGCTACCCGCCTGTTCGAGCACCTCGAGGCGGCTCACGGCCTCCCGGCTCATGTGCTGGCGAAAGGCGTGGGCAAAGAGCCGCACCTGCAGGACAGCTATGACATCCCTAGCCTCAAGTTGCACCTGAAGAATGATATCGCTATCGACATCCGACAGCATATCGCCTACGCAGCCCACATCATCAAGGTGGGTCAGCCGAGGCAAATTGGAAGGAGGGAGCCACCGGCCTTTTGAACATCCAATGTCTCCCTCTCTCTCTCTCTCTCTCTCGTATATATGTGTGTGTACATATGTATATGTGTGTGTGTGTACAGACGAAGGGCAACGAGCGTTTGGTGGGCAATCCGGCCCGCGGCATCGCACCGAACCCCGTGAAGCTGTGGACAGACAGCACCACGGGCGAGCGGCTGAACCTCTTGCAGCGAATCGAGAGACGCCTTGGATGGGCGTGAGGGAGGGAGGGAGGGAGGGAGGGAGGGGACGGACTGTGCATGTGATGCGATGCGATGTGCATGTGCATCGATCGATCGAGGGGCTGGTGAGTGAGTGAGGCCGTGCTGTCTTTCGTCGACTCATACGGACGGGCAGACAGACAGACCTGTTTGTGTGCAGCGTTGGATGGACCGGCATCCTTGCTGCGCTGCGCTGCATTCATGTGGTGTCGTGCGTTTGTGTGTTGTGGTGAAGGCGCCCATGTACGTGTCGCCGCGTATTCCGTCTCCGGAGGGTAGAACAACGCCACACTTCTTGAGATGCATATATTCCTCAGCTGACCCATACAAAACAACACCACCACGGCCAACACCCAGCTGGTCGGTCTCATAAATGCGACCACCAACCAAGGTCATCTACCTCAGCCAGCCAACACACTCAGCGACCGCCGATCGATGCTCTCACTGCTGGACGCAACCAACCATCCATGAGTGGCCACGGCATGCAGTTAACTCATTGGGTACACATACCATTCAGTGACACGCACGCAGCCGTCTGTCTATCCACTAACGGAGGAGCAATGAGTGGGGTGCTGGTGTGGGTGGCGGAGAGGTGTGTGTGTGAGTGAGAGACACAGAGAAAGACATGCATGTGCTTGTGTGAGCACATGTGTGGATCGGTGGATGCCGAATCACTCACACAGCACACCACTGGTGCAATTGGAACGAAGGCATTATGCAATGGCCTGCCGAGTGGGGTGTGTGTATGTGGGTGGACGTTGGGGCGTGAAATGAAGACACCCAACCACACACAGCATTGATCGATTGCATCGACACCGACGAAAGAGTAAACTCTGTCCCCACGGGCAAAACAAAGCACCTCACTATATGTTGACTCGCATGCGCCGTACGACATCCATCGATACGTCCATCCGGCACACATGTACTTCAGTGCCTGCCTGCCTGCACGACCTTCATATAGCAGACACAGGGAGGACAGACGCACAGATACGCACTCAAGACAGACAGACAGACAGAAAGCTCACCGCTGAATGGATCCATCGATCCACGCACACACACAAGTGGATTATGTGTATGTGTATGTGTATGTAACCAGACAGGCAGGCAGGCCGATTGCCTGTCTGCCCGCCCTCTCCCCTAAAGATCAGGACAAGTCCTGGCCTTCATGAAGCTCCACACCTCGTCAAGATCCCTGTTCCCCTTCGGCAACGTGTATGAGTAGATCTCGACACGCTTCTGCCGCCCCTGGCCACCACCCAATATGATCTCAATCGCTGCTGCACGGAGGCTCGTGCTGCTGACGGACGAGAAGTGCACCGTCTGCACGCGGCCGGTGACCTCAGATGGCACAAGCGCGTATGTTGAATACAGCTGGAGGGACGGCCGGACGACCACCTTGACGTACAGCGCCATTACGGCAAACACAAAAGCAGGCACCCAGATGACCGCACCTAAATAGATGACGACTGTCCGCGGGAGGGGGATGCCGCGGAAACGGTACCACTCGGGCCAGGAGTCGGCGTACTGCTTGTCGACACAGGCGCGTACGAAGACGAAAGCCATAGAACCGAAGAGGACAAGGAACAGGATAATGACCTTCCACGGAGCGGCATAGGGATAACTTAAAGTCGCCCCGGCGGTCCTGCTGCAAGTCCTGCTGGCTTGAATCAGGCCCTCTGCATCAATCGCAAGCAATCAATCAATCAAGAACAACTGACTGCGGTGCCTGTTGGCATTGTATACGTACCAGACTCCGAGTGATCGTCATTGTCCTTGGGTGGTGAGGGGTCCTGGATCTTGATGTTTTGCAGCTCGTCGTCACCTGCCATATCGCTGGTCATCCGCCCCTCCCCGGAAACACCACACAAGGCGAGGCCAACTGATGCGACACTTCCGAAGTGTCACACCGATGTAAGAAGAAGGCCGGGACGGGAGCACACGTCTCCTCCCTCTCTTCTCTCTTCGAGACAAGTGGAGTGCCTGCCCGAAGGAGTGCCTGCCCTTCGGGCAGGCGTGTCCGTAAAACAGTAAAGGCGAATGTTTAGGCAATGCGTGAAACTGGAAGGGATTGCCATAATTCGTTTTCTTTTTTCCCTCCTTTGTTCGGCTGCCGAACGACATGCGAATGGCATCAGAAGCGAGAGCATGCTGTCTAGTTTTGCTTAACCAAAACAGCTCTCGCATACGCTGCCTACACGCATCGGAATTCCAAGGGGAAAAAGACCCCGGTTTTAAAATTCATATAGGGGATGATCTGTAGCTAAGCTCGCAGATGTCGACAGGATCGCTGCCCAGATGGAAACGGACCCGTATGTATGTGTATGTGTATGTATGTGGGTGTGCTCGGATTATATATGCTTTGCTTCTCACCAATGAATGGATGGATGGATGGATGCCCTCGTGCATATGGTCTGTCTATACGAGCGTCCACCCGCACACACGTATGAACCATGCGGAACCATGATGCGCGCATACACCATCTCCACCCATTCCAACCGCCTCCCGCGGACCGACCGACAAACCATGTGTCCATCCACTCATTGCCTACCCCTCTCTCTCTGTGAGTGCGTGGCGCTTCCTTGCTCGCTTCTCGCTGACGACCTTCACTGCAACCGATGGATCGGCACCGGTTGAGCAAAGATTGCCAGCACAATAACGACAAGGCGGCGTCACGCGTACACGGACCGATGACGAGATCAAATGTCCGCTTCTGCGGGCCGGAACTTCTTGACCATGTCCCAATACGACTCCTGCACACACCACAACACAACACGACACCACACAACACAATGAAGACACACACACATGGATGGATGTGTGTGCGTGGGTGCATACACGCGGTGAACGCACCACGTGTCTGTCGGAGAAGATCTTCTTTGCCTCAAACTCGCCCTTGGTGTTGTAGACTCGCCAGTTCTTGAAGGCACGCGTGGCCACCACACCCTGCACACCACCACCACACACACACAGATTGGTGTAGGGGGCGGGCACACAGGCGGTGGCTGATAGACTGACCTGCCACACGAGCTGGCAGAAGGTGCTGCTCCCCTTCTTGCCCGTCTCATCGTCCTCGTCTTCCTGCAATCAATCGAGACACAACACACGCACAGATGCCAGGCGTGTATGTCCCAGCCCCCCTAGACAGACAGACAGACAGAGGTACCTCGTCGTCGTCTCCCTCGGCGTTGCCCCCACTCATGTTGGTGTCGGCCTCTTCGCCCTTGGTCGCTGCCGCGGCATCGGAACCCTCCTCCCACTTGATGCGGCGCAGCATGAGCTTCTTGTAACGCTTGATGGACCGGGGGCCACCCTGGAAGAGAGACACATCGATGGATGGATGGATGGATGGGCGATGGGTGTGTGTGGGGGGGTTCTTTCCTCTCTCTCTCTCTCCCTCTCTCCCTCTCCTTTCATACCTCTACGATGACGCAGTGTGTGTTTGCGGCCGGGCAGATGACGCAGGCGCCCGTGAGGTGGAACTGCTGGGCATTGATGTCGACCTGAAGGAAGCCACAGGCAGGCACCACATAGATAAGAGACACATATGCGCACCCATGTGTCAACGCACTCACGCACTCACCTTGTAGACATTCCGCCGGCTCTCGAAATTCTTGACCTGCACACACACACAGACATCCACACACAGAAAGGTTTCCACCCCGCGAGATCTCTCTCTCTCTCTCTCTGTGTGTGTGTGTGTGTATGTGCGTGCGTGTGTGTATATCTGCGTGTGTGTCTTACTGTGAAGATGGCGACTTCAAAGTCGACGCCCGATGAGCTCTGCCACTTGCTGATCTTCTTCTTCTTGCGCTCCTCGGGGGCCAACTGACGAGCCTGCACACACACAGATAACACACACAGAGAGAGGTGGTGTGGGGCTGTGGGGTGTCTGTGCAGGTCGTCACATCACATACCACGTTGCGGGCTTCGTGGTCCTTGATGCGCTTCTCCATCTGGTGCTTGACCTGCTTCTCGATCTTGCTGGGATCCTACACGTGTTGGCACACACACAAAGACACACACAAGAGATCCATTCCCTCCCTCTCTCGCTCTCTCTGTGTGTGTGTTTGTTTGTGTGTGTGTGTGTGTGTGTTGACAGCGCTCTTTCAGCTCACCGCAACGGCTTCGTTGCCCAGGACTTTCATGAGGTTGGAAAGCTGACCGACCACACACACACAGAGACACACACACATAGACAGTCCACCCACCCATCTGTGCATCGGGTCGCTGTGATGTGAGTGGTGTCAGGCCGCCACGCACCTTGACTTTGGGCGGTGGCGGTGGGATGAGTCCCATTTTGATTTTGTCCTGCTTTTCCTGCTCCTTCTCCTGGCGACGGCGACGGCGCAGCTTCTTTCTGCACACAGCACAGGCATGGTGGCGACGGACACACAACACACACACGTGTGGGCGTGGCGTCTGTAGGGGGAGGGGGGGGGTGGGTGTCTGTCTGTCTGGTGTGATGTGATGTGGGGGCTCACCGCTCTTTCTGCGTGAGGTACATGGTGGGGGTCACAGTGGAGTCGGCCTCGGCGGCGGGCTGCATCGCATCCACCCCGTGGACACACACACACACAAACACACACACACACACACACATGCCTCCAGTGTCTGGTGTGGGGTGGTGGGGGGTGACTTGGCTGGATTACCTTGATGGGAACTGGGTGCTCGACATAGTGGGTGATCTTGTCCTGCACACACATGACCCACACATCGACACATCCACACACACATGTTGGTTGCCTGTGTGGGGCCCGGACACTCACCGTGTTGATGACCCAGTTGAAGTCCTCCCCCTCTCCCTCTTGTTCTCTCTTGACGCCTTCTTGGTCTGTCTTGGCCTTCAGGATGGGCTTGTCCCACCACTCCACCTCGGGGATGATCTCCTGCACACACCCACCACACACACACACACACACCCATCCATCCATCCATCCAGACAAGCTCACCCGTGGGCGCATTTTGATGCTCTCGACGACCGGCACCACCCTGTCCGCCCTCAGAGAGGGTGAGAGAGAAACCCTCTCCTCCTCCTCCCCTTCGAGGTCGAGATCAGGACCCTCCTCTCCCTCCTCCTGCTTCGGGAACAACGTCGGCAGCTTCATGGCAGGACCAAGCCCACCTGCGATTGAATGAGTGATGGAGTGAATCATTATAGTGGCCATGGCGTGTGTGTGCTCACCGAGTGGGATGAGGTTGGGGTTGAACTCCTCATCTCCCTCGCCCTGCTCCTTCTTGAGCGCAGCACTCTCCTCCTTTGCACGCGCCTGACAACACACACCACACACGCCGACACGTGTGTGTCGGGTGGATAATGGGTGGGTGGGTTGGTGTCGACCTGTTTCTCGGCGTGCAGTTTCTGTAGGTCGATGCCGAGCGCCTTGGCCTCGGCGCGCTTCAGTATCTGCTGCTCACGCTTCACGTACGTCCCTGAACACACCAATGCACCCATGCGGACAGAGTGCCGCTGGCCAGCTCGGTAGTTTGCCTGCCTGCCTGCTCACCTTCTTCGACAAAGTGGAAGCCGCGGCGCGCTTTCTGCCAGGCAGGCAGCCAGCCAAAGAGGAGGAAGGACACAGCAACACAACACACCACAACACACCACAACAACACACAGCAATATGAGCAGTCTCATGTGTGGCAGCTGCAGGGGGGCAGACGAGAAGAAGAGACATCTGCGGACTGACCTTTCCGCCTCTGACGTTTGGGTCGAAGAAGGGGTTCTTTTTGGGGTCGACGACGCTCTTGTCGGGCTTGACGCGGGCGAAGGGCTTCTTCTTGATGCGCTCCTCCTTCTCCCTGTTGATGTTCACCTGGGGGCAGGGCAGACACACACAAAAGTGGACAGAGGGAGGGACAGGGGGTTGTGTCGGTGGGAGGGGGAGGGTGAGGGGGGTACCTTGAGAGTAGATCTGAGCTGCGGCTTGATGGGTACGACTTTGCCCTCCTCGTCCACCTCTCTGCCAAACTCATCCACACGCAGCGGACGCATCGCTGCATCGCACCCACCACCACACCACACCACACCGAAACACATGCATCCATCCATCACAAATGCGCCTTCCTTCATGCTGTTCAGTCAGATACGTACCTCCCTGTGCACCCATGGCCCGATGCATCCCCGCCTGCAATTGAGCTTGTGCCTGCGCCTTGGCCTTGGCGAGCTGCAGCTGCAGGGCCTGCTGCTGCTGCGCCTGCAACACTGCCAGGTTCAGCCCGCCACTCAGCGGCAGCGCTGCCGGTGGTGCGGGTGTGGGTGTCGCGGCCTGCTGTGAGGCTTGCTGGGCGGCCATGAGCCGCCGCTGGATGGCCTCCTTCTGCGCCGCTGCTTCCTTGGCCTTGGCGAGCGCATCTGTCAATCGGCACATTCGGTGGGTGTGGCTGTGGGTGTGGGTATTGGGTATGACTCTATCGATCTGACCTTCCATAGCCTTCTTGGCAAGCGACACATCGAACGGCACCGCCGCTGCCGCCGCTGCTGCTGGTGGTGGTGCTGAGGAGGGGGGAGGGGGCTGAGCTGACGACGGACCTGCACACAGCCACACACACACCCACACCGACAGAGACGAATAAACGAATGCATTCCTGCCTGCGCGTGTGTGTGTGTGCACCACTCCCCCCCTCGGCTGACCATTCTGCGACTGTGGCTGTGCCTGTTTCTGTGCTGCAGCGGTGGCATCCACGTCGCTTGGCGCCTGACCCCATCGTGACCGCCTCAGCTTCTTGGGCTGCTCCCCACTCCCACTCTGTTGCTGCTGGACGCTCGTTGGAGCGTTGGCCGGGCCGTCCGGCTGCCCGTTGATGACCTGCTCGGCCGGACGCTTCGTCCCCACACTCGCGGACTCAGACATGCCTCTCCCCCGTCGCTGACTCAGCGCCTCACACACTCGTCCGTCTTGTCTATCTATCTGCCACCACACAGCACACGGGAGCAGGCATTTGTTGGCTTGCTTGGTTTCTTTCTATAGAGGTCTCCTCCTCCTCCTGTCCATGCCATGTCAGTCAATGCATCTTTCTGTCACTCACTGCCGCCTCACCCGAGGATGCGAAGCGTAAGAGGGAGGCTCGCACCAGTCACAGAATCACCACGAGATCTCGTGCGGGCCGATTCCCCTCTGCTCGCCAAGCTCGCAGACCGCACTTCCCCGTGAAACCGCTCCGCTGCAAACTTTCTCGTCAGAAACGGAGATCTTTCACAAAACGGTGTTGGATGTTTCAGCTGGCGGAGAGAGCGTCGAGGGAAAGCCCACAGGATGGAGGAGCATCGTAAGTGGGCGGAGGTTCAACAGGAAAGCCGCCTGGTGAAGACGCCATTCCGCCTGGTGCCTCGCTTCTCTGTGCCCTACACGGACAACACAGACCTCGTCGATCTCGCTGCCGACGGTGAGCGCAGGCAGTGAGTGGGGGATTTACACGGACTGTCTGTCTGTATTGTCAATTCTCCTCAGTCTTCGGGCACGTCAAGGCTCAGGTGTGGACACCAGAGATCTATCACCAAAGACGTGGCGCCGGCCTTCACGTATTGCGGCGAGGGGCATACTGCGTGGGAGGAGGGCATCAACTATGGCCTCGGCTCCTTCCCGGACGTAAAGGTCAAGGACGTCTTCGTGAGGGAGGGCACGCCCGACAACCCCATCGTCATCAGGATCCACCAGCCAAGTGAGTGGGGACATCAAACGGACGGAGTCGTGTAGTGTGTGTGCATCGGCCTGGATGCCTGCCTGCCTGCCTGGATGCCTGGACCTTTGCATGGCTGTGTGCGTGGCGTGTTGGACGTGTTGCTGCAGACCCGATGTTGGACGCTGTGAGGGCTGTCGGCAGTTTCTTCAAACATGAGAACAAAGGGTGGGTGAGCGCAAGCACCAACAGACCAAAACAAGTCGACTAACTCATCAGTCAGTGTCTGCGTGCCATTGGCTGCTTTGCCTGTGTGTACGCGCACAGAGCGTCGGCCACCATCACAGCGGATTTCTCCCCTAAGTGCTTGTCTGAGCCGTCGTCGTCATCGTCATCGTCAGCCGAGGTGCATTCTCCCAGCAAAGATGCGGGGAGGAAGCGATAGATAGGCTGTGGGGAGGGAGGGATGGGGCGTGGCTGTTCTTGTGCAGACTGACTGACTGACTAACTGACTGACTGACTGGCTGACTCACTTAGACGCTGATCTCTTTATTGACTGAGAGCCAGTTGGCAGCTGGTGTGGTGTGCATTTGTTTATTTGTCGTAAAGGGGGAGGGGAGCCGTCTCTCTGATCTGACTGCACATTCGAGTGACGGACGGCTGTAGATCTATCTAGACAGACAGGCATAGGTAGATGGCCGTGCGGCCGTGAGCGGAGACAACGTTGATGTGTGAGCCGTGAGAGAGGTGGTGTGGAGCAGAGAGATGGATGGCCGCTGGCTGAGCGAGCGATACACAGACAGACGATGGATTGATGGAGGGACACATACGTTCATTCATTCACTGGTGAGAAGCAGCAAAGCGTCCATCGCCGACAGTCGAGCAGTCTACCCATCAACACACACACACACATTCACCGCTCGTGTGCACGCCGTGTGCGCCTTCCCCTCCTCACATCCGATACGGGGACGTCCGCTTGGTCTGCTGTGCACAGCAAACCACACAAACGCCTCCGGCTCAACTATGAGGAAAGGCACACAGCCGGCACACACACAGAGCATTGGAACCCTCCCCTCCCCTCTGCACAAGCAACGTCCGTCCGTCTGTCCGTCCATCGATCGCTGAGCTGCCGCCTGTGGGCGTGTGTCCACTTGTCGCGCTGCACCGCTGCATGGCCCACTCTGTTGCAGCGAACCATACAGACGTCGACCTCGCCAAGTGCACACCCACACACACGGCAGACAGGCATTGGAATCAATCACGTTCCCCTCTCTCCCTGAGCCAGTCAATCTGCACAAGAACAGCCACCCACCCCTCCCTCCCTCCCTCCCTCCCTGTGTCAGTCTGTCTGTCTGTCTGTCTCCACTACTCTACAGGCACGGTGGCTGGCAGGTTCGCCTCACACAGAGGCTGTCTACCTACCCCCTATCTCTGTGGATGGATGGATGGGCTCTACTGCTAACTGGCCTCGTTGGGGGCTGGTAGTGGTGGGTGAGGGCGTGTCAGTGTGTCAGTCAGGGTCTCTTCCTGCCCCTACCGCCGTGCTTCTTGTCGTGTGTGCCGCCCACATGCTCCCACCCGTCCTCCGACAACTCCTGCAAACATACAGGGGGGGTGTGTGTGTGGTGTCTGTCCCTCCTCTCTCTCTCTCTCTCTCTCTCTCCCTCTCTTTCTTTCTCTGTGGGTGTGTGGGTTTGTGAGGTTTTGTGTGCCTCAGTCACTTGTTCCTCCTCCCCCTGCTGCTCCTGCTGCTGCTGCTGGTGGTGGTCTTTGTGGTCCCTCAGCTCTACCAGTATCAGCGAGGCCATCTTGGCCTTCACCTAACACGACGCAACGCAAAGCAACGGGCACACACACACACGGATGGATGGATGGATGGGCACAGGCAGGCCTGCAAGTGCGGAGGGGACCTGCTCCTGCACTTCGTTGAGCCTCTCGGCTTCCTCGTTGGCGTACTCTACCAGCAGGCTCAATGTCGACTGACAGACACACCACCCAGTCACACAGACATACATCCATCCATCCATCGACACATCTCTCTCTCTCTCTGTGTGTGTGTGTGAGAGAGAGGGGAGGACCTGTGTGTTGAATATGGCGCGCTGTGCGTTTTCTATGTTGGTTTTGAGGGCCTCGAGGTCCGACACACACGAGGTCTTCACACGAGCTTCCGATGTCCTGCACACAGACCACACACACACAGACACAGACACAGAGGCACACACGTGAGTCTATGTGTGTCTGTGTGTGTGGGTGTGCGGCTTACGCCCAGAAGTAGTCCGAGTACGGCGAGACGCTTCCGCGCAGAGCCTCTCGGTTCTTGTAGGTCGACAGCATAGACTCCAAACTAACGACACGACACACAGACACACACATCCGACACAAAGACACACACATCCACACACATCCACACAAAGACACACGCATCCTGCCAGCGCCTCTCTGTGGCTGGGGGCAGGGGGTTGTTGGCTGCGTACTGTTTGTTCTTCTCGGTGAGTGCGCTGTTTTGCGTCTGGACGTCGACCATGGTCTTGTGGAAGGCGGCGCGCTCCTCCTCTAACAGGCGCATCGTGTGGTTGTGCCTGCACACACACACATACACACACACACACACATGGATGGATGGATGGAAGGACTGGACTGCAAGTGTCTGTGTGTGTGTGTACCTGATGCGCTCATCGCACAGCTCTAAGGCGCATATCTCAGACCTAATGACCACAAGTGACAGTTCCACACACACCTGCTGTGTGTGTTCGTAAGGTGACATAGAGAAGGAGATCCGCACCGCTTGTGGACGGCGCCGATCTCCTTCTCAAGAAAGGCCTGCTGCTTCTGCTGCCGGGACAGCCTGAACAGACACACACACACAGATGCGCCCATCGACCCATCCACCGCAAAGGATGCGGTTTGGTGTGCCAGTACTTACATCATCCGCAGCTCGTGCTCCTCCTTGTGCAGGCTGTGCAGCCGCTGCAGGATGCCCACACGACCAGCCTCTTGCTGCTGCTGCTGCTGCTGGTTCTGCTGCTGCTGGTTCTGCTGCTGCAAGTAATTGGCTGCACGGAGAGAGAGAGAGAGAGAGAGAGGTGGGTGGATGGATGGATGGATGGATGTGTCTGTTTTGCTGCTGGGCTAGGCTTACTTCCCGCCAGTGCTGCTAGCGAGACCGCCTGTTTGGTGCCATTGGTTGTGGGGTTGGTGTTGTGGGGGTTGCTGGCCTGCTGCTGTCGCTTCCCCGCCCCCTCCTTGCCGCCCGACCGACCCGCCACGCGCTTGTCCTTCCCACGCACCTGACACACACACACACACACACACAGAGAGAGAGAGAGAGAGAAATCCGTCAACGGCTGGATAAGTGGGTGCATCGGTCGTCTCGCTCACCTCAGCCGTGTTGGTATTGCTGTTGGTGTTTGTGTTGGTATTGGTGTTAGTGTGTGGGTCTCGTGAGGGCGGCGGCGGTGCTGGTGAGAGTGAGGGGTTGTGGGAGGGGGGGTCCTGGTCCTGGGAGGGGGGGAACAAACTCTGTGGACCTGCCGGCGGGGCCGCTGCTGCTGACGATGCTGCTGGTCCTGGTGCTGCTGCTGATGCTGCTGGTAGTGCTAGGGGTGGGTTGTGGGCGTTGGTGTTGTCGGTGCCTGTCGGCTGCTGCGAGTGGAGGTGGTCGAGGGGGTGAGGGCCGAGGCAAGCGGTGTACCTGAAGATCCCGATGCCCTGCATGAGATCGACCACAGCACAGCACGTACACATGTGTTGAGTCACATCCATCTCTCTCTCCCCCTCCCTCTCCCTCTTTGTGTGCGGTGCCTACGTCGTCTCCATTGTTGTGGCTGGTGTTGTTGGTGTTTGTGTTGTTGGTGTTGTTCTGCCCCCCTGCCCCTCCCACTCCCCCTTTGCTGTCGATGCGGTTGAGGAGCACCTCGACCTCGCCCTTCTCCTCGGCAGCGGACTCCAGGTCACGACCCAAGTAGGGGGCGCCCTCACCCTGATGTGTGTGTCGTCGGCACGTGAGCATTCACTCACACACACCACACACACACACCGCACACAGAGAGATGCGTACCTTGGCCATGAGCCATCTGGTCCATCCCTTGTGAACGCGGAGGTACTCGAGGCAGTCACCCCGACACTGCTCTAACAAACCCTGCACACACACATGGATGGATGGATGGATGGATGCGCACACACACATCCATCATCAGACAGAGAGCGTACCAGTGCCTCCTTGGCTCGCGCCCTGGCCTTGAGCGCCTGGCACACCCCCTCGAAGTAGGGATACGCCAAACCGTCAGTCTGCATGGATGGCCATGCATACCAACCAGCCATCACACACAACACACAAACACGGTGGAGGACACTCTGCGTGTGTGTATGCAGACACACGGAGGCACCTCGATCTTGTTGTGGAGTTCGATTGCGTTGTCGGCCTCCTGACAGGCCGCCAGCCAATCGGGCGGCTGCAGGAACGAACAGCACACGGCGTGCAGCGCGTGCAGGTCCAACCTACAACCACAGAAGGACGATAAATTGATGGATGGATGAGCTCTCCCTCTCTCCCTCCCTCTCTCCCTCTCTCTCCCTGTGTGTATGTGTACTTGAGTCCGATAGCTTCAGAGTCGCCTAGGGATGGAGGTGATGACGATGCAGATGCAGATGCCGATGCACTGCTGGTGGCGGTGGTTGCGGTGTTTGCGATGGTGAGTAGCCGGATGCCCTCGTTGCAGTAGGCCCGGCACTCCTTGCTGCTCCGCTGCTCGTAGCACACACGCGCACGCTCCACACACACCCGGGCCCTGGCGATTGATTGACGGATGGCCAACACACACATCCATCCATCCATCCATCCACCTCTGTGTGTGTGTGTGATTTGTGTGTGTTTTGTTGCTTGGTGGTGTTACTTACTGCTCTATCTCCTGCCCCGAGGTACCAACCATAGAGCGACCAGCTGCTGTCATGGCTGCCAATGTTGCTGCTGCTGATGCGGAGGGTGCTGAGGCGGAAGCGGATGCATTGGCAGCATTGCTGTCCTTGTCCCGCTCCCCGTCTTTGGAAGGGCCACGGCGCCGCTCTCCCCGCTCCCGCCGGCCGGGACCCTCGGACATAAGCTATCCTTCTAATGTATGGGCTGATGGGGATCTGTGAAGGGCCTCAGGTTAGCATTGTTGATGGTTAAATTGTGCCCGTTTTCCCTCCTTCCCACCGCTGCCGATCTTTTCGCAAACAGCTCGCAGTGGTTTGAGGGAGAACGGCGTCGGGTACCCGACGGGGCGCTAGTTTGTTTGTGTGGATAGATAGATCTGACAGCCGGTCGTGCGTGCACAAGACAAGACAATGGGTTGCGTGGCGTGTGTGCCGCAGGACAGCATCTACCTCGTCGAGAGCTGCGGCAAGTTCCACAAGGTAGGTAGCTGGGTACACAGACGGACGTCGCACTGCCCCGTGCACGGACAGGCAGCTGCACGGATGCGATGTGCCCATCTGCGCAGCGCGCGATACACAGACAGATGCATAAGACTGGATGGATGCGTGTGCTGTGTCCGTCCACTGTGTGCTGTGCGTGCAGGAGGCAGTTCCCGGCTGCAACTGTGTGGGCGTGCCGTTGGTGTGCGCCGTGGCGGGCAAAGTCAATATGCGCGTGCAGCAGCTCGACGTGGCGGTGAGTGACTGAGGGAGAGAACCGGGGCAGCGCAGCGGGAGGGCAGGGGAGGGGTGGTGCGGTGGTTTGGTTGATGTGGCGCTTCGGTTCGTGTGTTGCGTTGCGTTGTGTTAGGTCGAGACCAAGACGCGCGACAATGTGTTCGTGCAGATGGTCGTGGCCGTGCAGTTCGCCGTCATGAGTACGCAAGGAAGGAAGCACACGCACCGACACAGAGGGCCACTGCGCAGGGTGGATGCGTGGATGTGTGTGTGTGTGTGTGTATGGTTGTGTGTGGTCTGATCTCATCTGATCTGATTCCCTCTCTCCCTCTCTCCCTCTGCCGCCCACTCCACTCACTCAGGAGACAAAGTCTATGAGGCGTACTACAAACTGGACAACCCCGTTGCGCAGATCAACAGCTACGTGTTCGACGTGGTCAGATCGACCGTCCCGAAACAGTTCCTCGATGAGGTCTTCGGTGCGCATCGCATCACAGAGAGAGAGGCATCGATGCCGAAACATGTGTGCTTCATGTCTGTCTGGTGTGTGTGCCTGTGCTGTTGGTGGCTGTCCAGAGAGCAAGGACGAGATCGCCAAGTCGGTCTCGGAAGAGCTCCAGAAGCAAATGGACGAATACGGTAAGTAAACACACACACCTCCGTCTCACCCTCACCCACACGCAGGCCCTCTCCCTCTCTCTCTCTCTCTCTGGTGTGTGTGTGTGTGTGCCCATGGTGTGCAGGTTTCCAGATCCTGCACGCATTGGTGGTCGACGTGTCGCCCGACAACCGTGTCAAGGGGGCCATGAACGAGATCAATGCCAACAGGCGGCTCCGCATCGCTGCTGAGGAGAAAGCTGCGGTACATCACTTGTTACCTACCTGTTGCTCTGGGGCGGACGGGGGAGGGAGTGTGTGTGTGTGCAGGCGGCATACATCGAGACTGTCAAGCGTGCAGAGGCCGACATGGAGAGCAAATACCTACAGGCACGCCACTCAACATGGGCAGACACACACCCAAAGACACACAAGGCGTCTATTCACCCGTGTGTGTGTCTCATGGATGGATGGCTGGATGTGTGCAGGGTAGGGGTGTGGCCCGCCAGCGTGCGGCCATCGTCAAGGGCCTAAAAACCAGTGTGCAGGACTTCCAGGTAAACACAACACACATAGGACTTCCCGTCGCCTGTCTGTCTGCACACACACACCTGTGTGTGCGTGTGCGATGAATGCAGCATGAAATCGATGACATCAAGAAGAGCGGCGACTCGGGAGTGGACCACAAGCAGATCCTCGACCTGGTGGGGTTTCACACCACACACCACGTCCGTCCATCCATCCATCCATCTATGTGTGTGTGAATGTGCAGGTGATGGTGACTCAGTATTTCGACATGCTCAAGGATTTGGCCACCGGCCGCGGCACCACCACCGTATTCCACCCTTACGAAGAGGTATGGACACACACACACAGACACACAGACACACACAGAGAGAGACGCATGTGTGTGTGTGTGTGTGCAGGGTCCGTTGTCTGCGTTGGGTGAGGAGATCCGGGCAAGTGTGCTGCAGGGCAACACACTCAGGAGCTAGACTGATGGATGGATGGCCTGAGAGGGTAGCATAGCGTGGCGGGGTGTGTGTGGTTTCGTGTACAGTGGCGGCCGACATAGTTGTTCTCTTAGCTCGCCTGCCTGCCTGCCTGCCTGCACGTGATAGTGTGTGGGCGTCTTTCACACAAATGATGTAATGGTATGTATCATGGATGTTTTCTGGCACCGCACCCATATCACTCACTGGTGGGTCGGTTGGTTTGTCAAGTGTGTGTGTGTGTGTGTGTGATGGTGTGTGGCCGTCCCCTCCCTCCCACCCCTTCGGGCAGCTCGAGCAATCCCTCTGCCGTCGGTTGCGCGCGAGCGGCAGGCGCTTTGCTGAGCTTTCTTGGAAGGCTGGGAAGGAAGGAACCTACCTCGCCCATCCATCATGTGAACGTGTCGCAGTGACGATGAATATCGGGTGCGTGACGTACGTATTGTTGATGCACGTGATGTCTGACATGCCTAATATGTATGTGTGCTACATTGGTTGGTTCAAATCACATCACACACCAGCTGGGTGACCGATAAATAGATATCCAGAGAGACAGACAGGCGATGGATGGATGGATGGATTTCGATGGAGGGAAAAATACGTTCATTCATTCACTGGTGAGAAGCAAAGTGTCCATCGCCGACAGTCGAGCAGTTCACCCGTCAACACACACACACACACATTCACCCCTCGTGTGTGCGCTCTCTGTGTGCGCCTTCCCATCTCTCTCTCGCTGCACATGCGCACGTCCGCTCGGTCTGCTGCGCAAAGCCAACACCACACAAACGTACGCATGAGCGGCAAAAGAAAGGCACACAACTAGCACGCACACGGACACCGAACAGTAACACACCCAGCGACACAAACACAACAGCATTGGAGCCCGACCTCTCTCCCGTGTGTTCTCCTTTGACCAAGAGAGTCAATCTGCACAAGCAAGTCAGCCCATTGCACAGACGCCTGTGTGTGTGTGTGTGTGCACTTGACGCGCTACACGGCGGCATGGCCCGCTTGGTTGCAGCGAACCATACAGTCGTGTACCTAGTCAAGTGCACACACACACGGCAGGCAGGCATTGGAATCAATCACGTTCCCCTCTCTCCCTGAGTCAGTCAGCCAATCAGTCAGTCAGTCTGCACAAGAGCAGCCACACCCCTCCCTCCCTCCCTCTCTGTCTCTCTCTCGTCTCTGTCTGTGTGTCTGGCTGTCTACCGCCTCATGAGTGTTTTCTTAGACCTCCTTATCCTTATCCTTCCCTATGGATGTGCTTAAAACACCCAGAGAGATAAGTATGCCGTCCAAACCTTCTTTTTCCCCATGAGCCACTCGATATGAATGGCTGTGAAGTACACAACCACCCCCGCGAGTGCAAGGGGCCCAACCACCACCCTGTTGCTCATCGTCCAGCCATTTCGTCCTGTTCTCTCCCGGCACCTCTGCTCTGACTTTCTTCTCGATGCATTTGCGGTATGACGCCTCGATGGGTGGGTCACTGGGCTGGTTGGGATCGCCCCGTCGCATGTGGGGCTGGTGTGGGATGGGGACGGCTGTCGTTGTGGTATTGGTTGTGGGTGTGGGTGTGGGAGTGGTGGTTGTTGTGTCGTTGGCCGGGTTGCTGGACGCGTCAGTGGTGGTCGGTGGTGCACGTGTTGGGCCGTCTCGCCGTAGCACCACTCGAATAGCTTGTCCTGCGGACACAGTGAGGAAGTAGTGAGGAGCACATTGGCGACACGTTGTCTGCTTGCACTTATGTTCATTCTCACGCAGCAGGTCCACCTTGGTGAAAAAAGATTATCTCAACCCGAAAATCGGCAGGGACAAGAAATACAAGCACTTTTGACAGCAGGCACAGCACAGAAATCCTCACCAAAGCCGTCAACGTGGGCGTCGTGATCTCCTGGTACAGTCACATTTCCACCGACACAGCCGCCGTATCTTTCACTGACCGAAAAGCGCATACAAAGAGTCCATACAGGGATATAAGTGCGTTTGTGTGAGTGGGTCTTCTGTTTGTGACTCACAGTATTTGACGCCGTTCTCGAGTCTCTCGAGCCCTCATACTGCCCCCCACACACATACGCAACAGAACTGCCTGACTGCATGTGCATCTCTTCCATCTTGTGCATGGCAGCTGCTGCACTTGCTCAGCCAACAGCCATCCATCTCTCTGCTCCACACCACCTCTATCACGGCTCACATACCAACGTTGTCTCCGCTCACGGCCGCACGCCACGACGCCATCTACGCATGTCTATCTGTCTAGAACTACAGCCGTCACTCGATTGTGTCCCCATGGATAGAAAAAAAGATACACACCAGCTAGCTGCCAACTGCCCCTCAGTCGTCGATCATCGAGTGCCGATGAGTGGCACTCTATCAGACCCCTCGTCGGCCATGTCGCCCTTCCTCCTATAGGGCTTCGATGGAGGTGAGGGAGGCATGGCGCGGCTGTGCATGGGCTCCTCCATGTACACACACCTGGCAGACTGCGCCTGCTGGCCTGAGAGAGAAGAAACCATACAGACACGCAGGGGAAGTGGTCAGCTCGCGCCGGGCAAACCAGCAAGGCGCACTTGTCTGTCTGTCTATCGCTTGTCAATTCACCTGGCGGTGGCGCATCAAGTTGGTCGCTTCGGCGTGACTGCATGAGCTTCTGAGCAGCGGCGTGTTCCTCCTTGTGTTGCTGCTGTCGTCGAACTACGACATTCAAACATACACCCATTGCCTTGCGCGTCAGTCAGTGCAGTGCTTTCACTCACTGATGAGATTCCGCTCGTCCTCTAGCTTCCTCAAGAAGATCTCCCATTCTGACGGACACAAAAGACATACACACACACACACGAATTGAGTGTCAGACCCGAGGGAGTGACTAACTGACTGACCTTCCTGGCTGGCAGGCCTGGCGTGCCTCCTGAAGTAGCTGAAGAAGGCATCGTCATTGCCTTCAGCAAGCCGACGGACCAACGCCGCATAGTAGTCCTGACGGGTGGAACACACAACGCCGCACGGTGACCGCACACCATGCCCGTCAGAACGAGTGTTTGTTCCGTGTGAGAGCTTCCTCACCATTGCGGTTCCTTTCACCGCTCTAGCGAAGAGGTAGTGGTGGTGCCCCAGGAGTTCGAGCTCAGGCACACCCCGCTGCCTCCCCAGGTCGAACATCTTCTTATCCACACGCCCAATATCCTCATTGGTCACAATGACGGCGTTTCCCATCGTGCATCCCTAAAGCGACGAAAAGGAAGGCTTTCGGGCCACACCAGACGTTCCGTGAAACCGCTCCCCAAAGAGATGATGGCGTACGAGCCTATCCCAAAGATCCTGCACAGAGCAGCAGCAAATCCAGCGAGGGGGAGCCTACAGCAAGGCATTTGTCTATGGATATGATGTGCACGCCCTTCTCCAACAGCGAAATCGAGTTGCTACTCTGTGATGAATCGAGCTTCTTCCGGACTGCCGCTACTCGTGCCTTTCCTTGAGCTCGCCCCTGAGGCTCTCGAAGATGGGAAACAACGTCGTTGTGACCAATGAGGATGTTTTGCGTATGGACAAGAAGATGTTCGAGCTGGTGAGGCAGCGGGGTGTGCCTAGGCTCGAACTCCTGGGGCACAACAACTACCTCTTCGACAGAAAGCTGGAAGGAACCGCAACGGTGAGGAAGCTCTTACACACACAAACACTCGTCCTGGCTACATGGCGTGGGCGTGCTGTGTTCCACCCGTCAGGACTACTATCAGGCGTTGGTCCGTCGGCTTGCTGAAGGCAATGACGATGCCTTCTTCAACTACTTTAGGAGGCACGCCAGGCCTGCCAGCCAGGAAGGTCAGTCAGTCAGTCAGTCACTCCCTCGTGTGGGAGACTCATTCGTGTGTGTGTATGTATGTATGTCTTTTGTGTCCGTCAGAATGGGAGATCTTCTTGCGGAAGCTAGAGGACCGGTTGGAATTCAACAGTGAGTGAAGTCACTGACTGACACGCAAGGCAATGGGTGTATGTTTGAATGTCCTAGGACAACAACGGCAGCAACTCCTCGAGGAACGGGACGCTGCTGAGAAGCTCACGCAGTCACGCCGAAGCGACCAAGTTGATACGCCACCGCCGTGGTTAACTGGGTGTGTGTATGTGGAGGAGCCCATGCAGACCCGCGCCATGCCTCCCTCACCTCCATCGAAGCCCTACAGGAGGAGGGGCGACATGAACGACGAGGGCTCCGATACAGTGCCACTCATTGACACTTATGGCCGTGCATCGTCTGTGCGCTATCATCGTCTTCTGATGCCGGGGGGGCAGTACACATACATATGATGATCGACGACTGAGAGGCAGTTGGCAACTGGTGTGTATCTTTTTTTTCTGTCCATGGCGGACACAAGCGAGTGACGGCTGTAGTTCTAGACAGATAGACATGCGTAGATGGCCGTGCGGCCGTGAGCGGAGACACTGTTGAGATGTGTGTGCCGTCAGAGAGGTTCTGTGGAGCAGAGAGATGGATGGCCGCTGGCTGAGCGAGCGACCGACCGACCGACCGACCGACCGACAGACGATGGATGGATGGATGGACACATTCATTCACTGGTGAGAAGCAACAAAGTGTCCATCGCTGACAATCGAGCTGTCCACCCGTCAACACATCCACATGTCCATCCCTTGTGTGCACGCCGTGTGCGCCTTCCCCTCATTTGCTGCACATGTGCAAGTCCGCCTGGTCCGCTGTGCGCACCCACACCCGGCAGGAGTCATTGGAATCAATCACATCAATCAAATTCCCCCCTCCTGAGTCAGTCAGTCTGCACAATAACAGCCACACCGTCTCATGAATGATCGTTGTCGACCGACCGTTGGGTTTGTGTGCTTCCAAAACGTACGAGCAAAGGAAAGGGGCAAAAAGAGAGACATGCCATCATGCCATCATGCCATCGATCATACACACACATTCAATTCGTCAGTCAGTCCCCCTCTCTCTCGTGCAGTGACTGCACCAACCACGCCACGTGCAGTGCACACCAATCACGCCACGCCCTGACATACAAAGAAGCGACCTCACGCCATGGCAGCACCATCGACAGACACCATCGACCTTTACAGACCCTCACCACTTTCCGCCCACACCACACCCACATCGATCGATATCCCCCAGACAGACTCACTCGCCCTTGACGCAAACAATATGGTCGACACGACACAGGCGCTTGTGTCTTGGTTGGTTGGTTGGTGGCTGTCTCCACCGATGGTCAGTCAGTCAGTCGAAGAGCAGGTCGCCCAGCATGTTTCCCACCATAAAGCCGCCCAGTGCGCCCAAGGCCATGTTGCCGACGCCGCCCATACCCCCCTGGCCGCCCATACCCATCAATGGGCGCTTGGGCTTCTTCCTCTTACGGGTCACCCTGCACACACACATGGGATGGACCGATGGGAGAATGGGTGTGGCTGTGGGTGTGTGGCCACTGGGTGTGTGTATCTGTGTGTGGTGTGTACCTGCCGATGTACTGGTTGGAGTTGGGCACCGACGACGTGAAGTCAAACGCACGCTGGAACTGGAAACGCTGCAGACAGACAGACAGACAGACAGACATTGCACAGCACACACGACATCCATTCGGTCCATTGCGCACACGTGAGGTGAGGGTGGGTGTACGCGACGCGCTGCCCTCACAGGCAGACAGACAGACAGAGAGAGATACCTGTGTGCTGGTGAGTTGTGGGCGTTGCTGGAAGCCCCGGTGCCGCAGGTTCGTGTGCAGCGCCTGCACAGACGCATATGGATGGATCCATATGCACATCTGGGTGCGGCATGTGTGTTGTGTGTGCCGTGTTACCTGCAGCAGCGAAGGGTAGGTGTGGCCGAAGGGGTTCTGTGTCAGGGCCGCGATGAACGCACTCGTCATGGCGCCACCTGCATGCAATCCACACAGACACAAGCACATGAGGCGTGTCTGTCTGTCTGTCTGTCTGTGGGATGAATGCCCTTACCAGCAGCATGGGGGGCAAACAGAGTCCCGCCCGCATCTGTGCGCACACCCACGCAACTGCATCCACGCCTGTCTGGATGTGTGTGAGGGAGATGTCCCTCCCTACCAGCACTGGTCTGGGCGTCCTCACACCCCGAGAACAGCTGCACGTCGCCCATGGTGTGTGAGGGATTGTCGTCCTCCACCCAGCCGCCACGGCGCGGCTCCCACGTGTACGGCAGATCCAAACCTGTCAATCACATCACACCACACACACAAACGGATGGATGGCGACTGACTCGGGAAAATGTCAGTCATTGCATTGTACTTACCGGTTCCCGAGTGGCAGCAGTCCATGACGGCCGTGAGGCGACACCCGCTCGGCAGCGGATGCACTATCAGATTATGCAGCTCATCTGCAGTGCACACAGACATCAAGAGAGAGAGGGGGAGCTGGGTGAGTTGGGCTGGGAGGATGTCCATTGACCGTCGACAATCTGCCCGGCCCGCTGGTAGTCCATTGGGAGGATGGTCTCATCTACACACACATTGACACCCACTGCTGCTTTGGCTTTGGCTTTGTGTGAGTGCTGGCGTTGGGTGCGCGTACCCATTCCGTCCTCCTCTCTGCCAGAGGGGTCCACCTGCTGCGCGCCATGACCTACACACACCATGCACACCACACAGGTGTCTGTGCGCCCAGCGTGTGTGTGTGCGTGTGGATGTGCACCAGAGAAGTGGAAGAACAGAGCGTCGCCCGGCTGTGCGTTGAGGGCCAGCCAGCGACACGCCGTCAGGATGTTGCTGCATCCATCCATCCATCCATCCACAGCCGTGTATGTGTGTGCTTGTGTGGCCATCTCATCTGGGTGTGTGTTGTGTGTGTTGTGTGTGTGTCTTGGTTTACGCGCGTGTGGGCAGGAATCTTCTGTCATTGGAATCGTCAGTCAGCACCACCTGCACACACACAGACACACACACACACACACACACATCCATGCCCACATTCGTGTGTGCACTGCCCTGTGTGCACATTGTGTCCACAGACAGTCCCTACCATAGTCTCGGGTGTGTCGGGGAACCCGTATATGCCCGTCAGCACGCGGCGCATGTTGCGGACGTCATTGATGCAACCCCTCAGCTCAGCTCTCGTGCCCGTGTAGTTGATGCCGATCAGCAGGGCCTTCTTGCGGCCCGTGGGCTGGGTGGGTGCGCCGCCGATCGACGACGCTTGCGTCACACCTGCAAACCAACAACACCCACAGGCAGATGAGATGTGTGTGTGAGGGGTGGCGTGTGTGTGTGTGTGTGGAGGGAGGGAGGTACCAGGGTGTGTGAAGGGGTGTGTCTGCTGCTGTGAGGTGCCCTGCTGCTGCACGCTGTACCAGCTCTGGTAGGGGTGGCTCTGGGTGCCCTGTGTGGGGTGGTAGGACTGCTGCTGGCTGTGGTGGGGAGACTGGTCTGCCGCCACGGTGATCTGCTGCTTGATCAACTCGTCCAAAGCCTTCTCTTTGTCGTTATCCTGTCAGACACACACACACACACAGAGAGAGAGAGAGATGCACGTGACAGGCAGAAGTGGCGGGTGAGTGCACCGACGACGTGCGTACCCATTTGACGAGTGCCTTGGCGATGTCTTCGTAGCTGCAGTGTGGCAGGATCTCTTTGATGTCCTTCAGATACCTGCACAGCCAGCCCATCTCAAAAGGAGAGGTTAGCTCAGAGATCTGCAACTGAAGACAAGCTCGCATGGCCATCGTACCTTGGGTTAGGCTCGACCTTCTTTGGCTGCTGCCCCCCACCACCACCTGAGAGAAAAACGAGGGACATGTGTGTGGGGACACAGGACGCATTGTGTGCTGTACGCACCGAGGAGCTCGTCGACAGCGGCGTCCTTGTTGCCGTTGTGCCGCTGCAGAGCCGACTCAACCTGCTGTCTGTTGACGTGTGGCAGGATGCTCATGATCTCCTGAACAGTGTTGCCGCGCCCACCGCCACCGCCACCACCACCTGCACACAAACACAGAGAGACAGAGAGACAGAGAGAGAGACAATAGCTGCGTCGATCCATCAGTCAATCCATCAGTCAATGGGCAGTGTGTGTGTTACGGTACCTCCTGCGTATGCAGGTGGGGGTGGACTTTGGCTGTACGCCGGCGGGGCGTTGGTGTACGACGGGGGCGGTCCCAGCTGCATGGCAGGCCATGGCATGTAGCCACCGACGCACACACACACGATGCGAGCGATGCACGTCTGTCTGTCTATCTGTCTGTCTGTGTGTGCGCACAAGGCGGTTGGGGTGGGTTATTCATTTACCTGTGGGTAGGCCCCTCCCCCAAGAGGGGGCTGCTGCTGCTGCTGTGCTGGGTAAGACGGCTGCTGCACACGCACACATACACACACACACACGCACACACATTTGGTGCTCGTCGGTCGGTCTTCAGGGTGCAGGAGTGAGTGCATACTTACTTGTGCAGGGTAAGAGGGGAACCCCCCACCGCCACCCATTTGCTGCATCGGCGGGCCGTTGATGGTGACGATCTGCTGCGCCTGATATGGCCTGCTGCCCCCCTGCTGCTGCTGGCCGCCATGGCCGGGGAACAGCTGAAACTTGAGGCCGATCTGACCTTTGCCTCCGTTCTGGAGGTCATACCAGCCTGGTTGTTTGCATCATATCATGGATGGGATGCGCGGACACACACAGACATAGACATACACACGGGGTGTGGTTGGGGATTGTCGTATGTGTGTGTGTAGATACCTTCCTTACCTTCCATCGGGGCCCCGCCGATTTGCATGTTGGGCGGCATTTGCAGCGCCACACTACCTGCAGTGCACACACACAGACGGACGGACGGACGGACATGCATTGCATTGCATTGCATTGCATTGCATTGCATGTCGACAGGTGGATGGATGGATGTGTGGACGTGTGGATGTACCCATGAAGTCATCCTTTGAGAAACGGTCCCAATCATACACCTATTTATTTGTGTGAGAATGGATGAGTGCATTGGTCGCATCACACGTGCCGTGCGTGAGTCACATTCGTGCCTCATCTCGTCCGCTTACTTCAAAAGTCAAAGGCGGGTTCTGTGCGGTCGGCTGCACACACACACACCAGGCCCAGTTGTGGTCGATGCATGAGCACTCTATCTGTCTCTCTCTCTCTGTCTCTGTGTGTGTGTGTGTGTGTGTGTGGGTGTGGGTGTGCGCTCGGCCAAACGAACAAACGTACCTCCCAGTTGAGCAGAAAGGATTCGTTCCATGAAGGGTTCAGGGACTTCTTGACCTGATGATGCATGATACGAGCACCACCAAGACCACACATCCGAAAAGGCGCACAACACGCAGAGGCACTGTGCGGCTTTTGCGGTGGCTTCTTGACCTGCACAGGACAGGGGTCACACACCCACCACTCAATCGATCAATGACATACACGAGTGTCTGTCTCTGTCTGTCTGTCTGTCCTTCGCACCCACCTTATCGGTCTTGTATTCCTGTCCGGACCATTTCAGCTTGACATAGGGGTCCGACGTGCCACCTGACGCACATAAGACCACACACTTGTGTCATGCCATTCGGTGGCGTGGCTTTTCAGTGTCTGGAGTGGAGTGCCCCACTCACTCAGGTCTTTGGCAGCCAGGTTGCGGCCGCCGATGATCGTCACCTACACACAGCACACACGCACACGCAGACACAGACACAGACACAGACACAGAGCAGCCAGACCAGCAAGCAACACCACAGTGAGAACAGTCATGACAGCCCAGCAACCCCTGTTTTCGGCGGATGCACAGCCACAAGTGTCCCACACACGTACCTGCAGCCGTGCCGGCATCTTCCTCAATCACTCGACTCTTTCGCAAGACAGTCACTGCTCACAGACGACTGAAATACGAGAGAAACAGTCGCCAAGGACAAGCACAAAGGACACTGTGAGAATCACGCTGACCAGACGACTGTGTAGGGACCTTGCCCACCTTCACAATCACGTCAGACCTTCGCCACTGCGAGCTTTTGCGAGCTTGTCAAGCTTCGTTTCGCATTCCGGCAGGCGCAGGCAGACTGTGTTTGTGTGTGCTGTACGGCGGGCCGCGTGTGCAAACCTGAAGATGGTCATGATGGTGATGAGATCTGTGCTGTGTGATGTGTTGCTGTTGGCCGCCGCGCTGGCATGCTGCTGCTGCTTGGCCTTCCAGCCACCATCCACAGGCGTGCACAAACACGGTAAGCCCTCCTTGCGCACACAGGCCAGGTACACTGAAGGAGTGTCGATGTGTGTCTGTTTGTGTGTGAGTGCAGGTCTGTTGCGGCCCTCATCATCGGCCTCGTCATCAGCGGCCGGCAGCCGCCGCAGGCAGACGGGCGGCTTGCGAATGGCCATCAGTCGGCCTGACCCAGGTAGGTATGTTGACTGATGCGTGTCGTGTGTTGGGTGTTGCGTGCGGTCTGCCGGTGGGTGCATCTGCTGGTCATGTATACTGGCCGGTCTGTCTGTGTGGCTGGGTGCCATGGTCTGTGTGATAGAGCGTGACAAGGGGGTGGTGCACGTGTGTCGGTCGCCTCACCCCAGCGATGACCGGGTGTGCACGTGTGTCTACGCATATGGTCGGTGCGGCCAGCCAGGCAGGCAGTCAGTCAGTCCTACCCGGGTGGTCCCTCCCTGATATTCATTCGCTGTGCTGTTCCGCTCTGCCCTGTTCTTCTGGTCTGTCTGGTCTCTTTGGAAGGCGTCTGCCTGTACCTCTACACTGTCATTGCCGTGCAAGCGCGCGTCAAGCACGCAGGCAACACACTCACAGACAGTTTTGTGCAGTTTTGCTGCTCATGTGTCTGTCGTATGTCTGTGCTTGCACACGTAGTATTCATGGGTGCGGGCGGTGCATTCATTGTGCGTCGGTGTGTGTGTCATCCAATCCCCCTTTTGCCTCTCTCTCTGTGTGGGTGTGTGGTGTCTGTCTGTTTGTGTTGCAGGAAAGATCATGACTTTGACGCGTTACATGTTGGAGCAGACGCGCCTATATCCCGAGTACCAGGACTTCGAGTCGCTCATGGGTTCCATCCAGCTCGCCTGCAAGTCCATTGCCATGCTCGTCGGCAGGTACGCACACACACACACACACACACAGAGGGAGAGGGAGAGGGAGGGTTGGAGAGAGAGAGAGAAACACACTCGCCCGAGTGATGTGCGTGTCCCTCCCTCCTTCTATGTGTGTTGGTCTGGTCAGTGCGGGAATTACTGGTCTAGTAGGTAGGTAACTTAAGTAGTGGGGGGGAATCTAATGCTTTCTTTGCCGCCATCCCATCCCATCCACACATGCGACCACTCGCATTCATGTTGGTTGCCTTGCGTTGCGTTGTGTATACTTCCTATAGGTGCTGCTGGGGCGGTGAACGTGCAGGGTGAGGACCAGAAGAAGCTCGACGTCCTCTCAAATGACATACTCAAAGGCAAGGCACGCCACGGCACGGCACCCATAATGCCAGAAAGGCCGATGGACGGACGCATAGGGGTTTGATTGATGGGCTGGGCGTGGCATTGTGTGGCGGTGATGGTGCAGGAGCCCTGCAGTACACCGGTCGCTGCGGCGTGGTTGCTTCTGAGGTAACCTAAACAAACGATGGACCATCACACATGGGGGGACCACTCTGTCTGTCTGTCTGTCTGTGTGTCTGTGTGTCTGTCTGTGTGTGTGTGTGTGTGTGTGTGTGTCTGTGTGTCTTTGATAGGAGGAGCCTCACCCCGTGCTGGTCGAGGAGGCATACATGAGCAAATTCGTCACCGTAGGAAAGAAGAAGGCATATACCTCAAAAGCATTGATTGACACATCTCTCTCCCTGTGGTCATGTGTATGTCTGTCTGCGTGAAGGTGTTCGACCCGCTGGACGGCAGCAGCAATGTGGACGCAGGCATTGCCACAGGCACCATCTTCGGGGTCTTCAAAGAACAAGAAGAGTGCATGCTCCCCGAACAGCTCGACGGAGACCTCATGGCGGTACGCAATACAATGCAATCCACACACGCACACAGCTGCACTGACCGACTCGACCTGCCTCGTCCTCCCTCTCCCTCCCTGTGTGTCGATTGATACGATTGATACATCAGAATCAGTGTCTGGGCAACACTCTGCAGCCTGGTGACAATTTGGTTGCTGCGGGGTACTGCATGTACAGCTCCTCAGTGCACATGGTCATCACATTCGGCCATGGCGTCCAGGGATTCACACTGGACCCTGAGATCGGTGAGTAGGGACGCACGGACGCACGCAGACACACACAGGCGAAGTGGTGCACGTCTGTGTGTGTGTGTCTGTGTGTGTCTCTCTCTCTCTCTCTCTGTGTGTGTGTGTGTGTGTGTGTAGGTGAGTTTGTGCTGACTCACCCAAACATGACGCTTCCCAGGAGAGGCAAGGTGAGTAAGGTACCTACACCCACACCCACACCACCACCAATCGGTCGGTGTCTGTCTGTCTGTGTGTCTGTCTGTCTGTCTGTCTGTCTGCCCTCACTGCAGATCTACTCGATGAATGAAGGCAATTCGCCCGACTGGCCCGAGGGGCTGCGGCAGTATGTCGACGACGTCAAGCAAGGTCAGTGAGTGGGCCATCCCCCAACCTGGTACAGGACACACCGACCTCTCTGTGGCTCCCACTGGTCAGGCAAAGGCGCCGCCGGGCACAAGTACTCTGCTCGGTGAGGGAGGGACGGAGGGAGGGACGGGGAGACACTCTACCCCACTCAGCCGTCCATCTCTGTCTGTCTGCCTGTCGTCTCTTCTGCAGGTACATCGGCTCGATGGTCGGCGATGTGCACAGAACCCTCATGTGAGCCGCAGGGGAGGGCAGGGCAGGGGATGATGGTCTGGTCTGCGGGAACGTCATGAGTATGTTATGTCCCTTCTTCTGTGCAGGTACGGCGGCGTCTTCGGCTACCCAGCAGACAAGAAGAATAAGGTAAGGTCGCTGCTATGCAACGCAACGCACACGTGCGCTCAATCAATGTGTGTGCAGAATGGGAAGCTGCGTTTGCTGTACGAGGCCGCCCCGATGAGCTTCATCGTTGAACAGGCGGGCGGCAAGGCCTCCACGGGATATGAGCGAATTATGGACCTGCACCCCAGTAACCCCCCCCCCCCCCCCCCCCCCC